ATATATATATTATTTTTACAAATGAAATTTAAAGAAAAATGTGTATGAACTTTTTGATTGTTGAAAATATAATTCTGTTAATTTTTCTTTCTGTTTCAAACATCTAAGTTACATGATTTATAATTAAAAATTTGCTGAAAAAGAATACAGACAAACCACTCAAATATGAGGAAGAGCATCATGCTCTTCTCTCTATAGTTTGCTCTTTATGCTAATTATACAATAATAATGCTGATAAATTCCACCAAGCTAGTTTACCAGATAAACAGTAGGAAAGCATAGAGGCTTTGAGTCCAGCAAGAAGGTAGGTAAAAACCAGATTGAGGGATAAAACAACTGTCACAAAATTGTGTGTAAGGGGCCGTTCAAAAAGTACGTACACAAAAATGGCGAAATTTTAAACCCCTCCCCCCCTTCGTACATTACCGTACATAAGGTCTTACTCCCCCCCCTTAGAGTACGTACATTTTATTAGTCTACCCCCCTTTTTCATAAAAATTAAAATAATTATGTTTTAAATAAAATTAAATATTTACTTAAGGAGGGTGTAGGATAAAGTCAAATTTAAATTCGGTGTATGTTTATAAAGTACGTACTTTGTATAATACCTCCCCCCCTCCCCATCGTACAAAACCGTACATAATAGCAAATCCCCTCCCCCCCTTCGGGATGTACGTACTTTTTGAACGGCCCCTAAACTGTCCTTATAAAAGGCAGTGTTTTTTGTTAATTTATTTCAATTAAAAAAAAAATATTATTTTTCTTTTTAGATTATTCTGATCGACAATCTTTGAGTATGCGTGAAGCAAAGTATGTTCCTTTATTTTATTGTAAATAGATTATTACTTTATGTTACTTTTTGTATATTTTTTCTTATTATTTAATTTTTTAATATTTTAGTAAAGGGAGATCTAAGTTAGGGCAGAAGCCTTTAGATGTTGGTAAAGAAAAATCTGGTGAGTATTAATTACTTTTTAAAACCTAATGTTATCAGTGATTCGACTAGACTTAGGAAATTATGAGTCCTTAGCACTCAGGACTTCCCAATTTCTGCATCATTTTTTCACTAAAAGTAGGTCTCTATTTAAAGTAATACAAATCTCTAAAATAAATGGATAAATTTAAAAGTAAAAGGAGAAATTTATAGAAAAGGATATTTCATGGTGATTTATTACAAGACAGATAAAGGACCATGGTCCTCACATTGTTATTTTTATTTCTTATCCAGGTCTTTAAATTAATGATGGCTAAAATTTAACTCAGACCACTACAAAATAAATTATCAGTGGACCAGCAATCAATATAAAGGTATGCTGGTTTTTGTCACAATATACCATATTTCATCATAATTTTGATCATTAGTCATTCTCTGTAAAAAAAAAATATTTTTATTTAAATTAACTTTATTGTATTGACTTAAGAAAATGAAGAATTGGGTTATGTAAATGGTCCTATAAACCAGGGCTTCTTAAACTGTGGGTCGCGACCCCCAGGGAGGTCGCGAGACTACTGAAAGGGGGTCGCAAAGATCTGATACTTTTCAATCATTATAAATAAAATTTTAAAATTAGTATACACACTACGTACAAATATAAATTCAAATAAAAATCATACAAAATACTATTGTAGTTTTATTATAACTATTTTTTGAAAAAAGTGGCAATGCAAAACTGTTATGTAGGGCCTATAAATGAAAATATGGAAGTAGCATTTAAAATAATAAATACAACGCGCTCCTCGATTTTCAACTGAACGTTCGGCATTGATGTCTGGCCGCCGGCGTCAGTGTTTGCAAGATAACTTAGTGATTATAAGTACCCAGACGCCGCGTCGCCTTACAGCTTACACATACAATACGGAAGCATAATCAAGCTAGGCTAGGCGAATCGGCAGATTATTTTTATAAAAGAATAATAAAAAAACTTAAATGGAAGCTTCTTTTTCGGCGTCTTTGTGATACGGTGCCTTTTGTGCGCTGCACACTTTGAACACGCCATGCGTTGGGGTTGATCTGATCGTAATTTGTTGTCATTGCACTGGTAAAGATTCGAGTGTAGTTATTTTTCTGTTTGTACTTCAGTTTGGACTCAGGTTTGTCTTCGTAGTGACATGTGTGTATTTACTGTGTAATTTTCAATTGGTGTTTTTAATTATTACGTTAAAGTTCAACTACATTTTGTTTAATTATTTATTATTATTTGACCATCATGGATAAATGGCTAATTAAAATTCCAACTAATAAGTCTGCCACGCCGTCACAACCAAGTTGCAGTGCTTCAAATCCGACTTCTAGCAAAACCAAAAAAAGAAAATATGACGAATCATATTTGCAGTATGGCTTCACATGCTCTTCTCACAACAATGAAGAACAACCAGTGTGCTTAATTTGCAAAGAAGTTTTGGCTGCAGAAAGCATGAAACCGTCAAAACTGCAACGACATTTGAATACTAAACATGCAACGTTATCAAAAAAGCCAATAGAATATTTTGAGCGTCTTTTGCAAACATCAAATAAAGAAAAGAACACTTTGGAGAAGTATGTTACTTTGAATGATAAATATCTATTGGCATCGTATGAAGTTTCGTATTTGATAGCAAAAACGAAAAAGCCTTTTACTATTGGAGAGCAACTTTTACTACCTGCAGCTATAAGAATGTCTGAAATTGTTCATGGAAAACAGTATGCTGCTGAAATTAGTAAAATTCCATTATCAAATGACACTGTGTCCAAAAGAATTTCAGACATTAGCAATGATCAATTTCAACAGCTTCTTATGAGGCTTAAAGACAGCTCAAAGTTTGCAATACAACTGGACGAGTCGACAGACATTTCAAAAATGGCACAGTTGTTACTTTTTGTAAGATATATTTATGAGGGAAGCATTCATGAAGATATACTGTTTTGTCGTCCTCTGGAAGGTCATACTCGTGGAAAAGATATATATAAAAAAGTAAATGAGTTTTTTGAAAAAGAAGGATTAAATTGGAAAAATTGTGTTGGTGTGTGCACGGACGGTGCTGCAGCAATGACCGGACAAGATCTTGGTTTTACAGCATTTGTTAAAGCTGGAAATGATCATATTACATTTACACATTGTATGATTCACCGAGAGGCACTTGTTGTTAAAAAAATTGCACCAGAATTAAACACTGTGTTTTTTGATGCAGTCAAAATCATTAACTTTATTAAAAGTCGAGCACTTAATAGTCGATTGTTTAAAAATTTGTGCATTGATATGGATTCGGATTATACAAGTTTATTGCTACATGCTGAAGTTAGGTGGCTATCAAGAGGTCGAAGTTTGAAACGATTATTAACTTTAAAAGATGAAGTTCTTATATTTCTAACAGAGCAAAATTCTAATTTGGCCGATTATTTTCAAGATAATTTATGGCTTCTCAAGCTATGCTATTTGGCAGATATTTTTGATAAAATCAATGATATGAATTTATCAATGCAGGGAGTCTGCGTTAATATGTTTATGTTAAAAAATAAACTTGAGGCCTTTGTTAAAAAAATTCTTATATGGAAGAACAGAGTGGAAAGTGGATCGCTCGAAATGTTTCCATTTACTGACGAGTATATAATTAGTAACAATATTTCAAAAAAAGATACTCCTATAACAAAAATTATAGTTAATCATTTGAAGGATATGGAAGTTTACATGCATAGGTATTTTCCCAATGATATCGATACACAACAATGGATTTGCAATCTATTTTCAATTGAAATGGAAGAAATTAATTTTTTAAACTTAAAAGCACAAGAAGAATTTGCCGAATTAACAAGTGATACTACCTTGCGACTTAGATTTTCTCAAGTGCCTGTGCATGAATTTTGGATAGAAATAAAATCAGAATATCCCCTACTATCGGAAACGGCAATGAACAAATTACTGCCATTTTGTACAACATATTTATGTGAATCAGCCTTTTCCACATTAACTTACATAAAATCAAAATACCGTTCAACTTTAATAAACGTTGAAAATTTATTACGATCTGCACTAACTCAAATTGAGCCTAGATTTAATTATTTGTGTAAAAATAAACAATCACATCCGTCACATTAATATTGTTTGATGTTAATAATATATTTTTATTAAAAAAATTGTTACAAAAGTTTATTTTTTTCTATTGAATATATAGATATAGTTTTATGTTTTCTTATAAAAAAATTGTTACAAAAGTTTATTTTTTCTATTGAGTAAATATATATATAGTTTTATGTCATTCTATTTATTGTGTTTTATTACGACCGATATCCCGTCAACGTTTCCAATTATATATATGTGAAATGAATGGGTACATATTCTTTAATCCTTATTTTATTTACATTGTAAAATAGTGCGATATTACATCTACATCTACGGTTAATATATATTTCATTATATGGAGGAGGGGGTCGTTTAAAATTTCCTAAGCTTGAAGGGGGTCGCTATATAAAAAAGTTTAAGAAGCCCTGCTATAAACTACTGATTAAATTTTTCAAGCAGTTTTTTAGAGGTATTTTGAAGGGGAAGAAATATTCATGAATGTATTATTCATTATACTTTTTGAAATATTCATTATACTTTTTCTGACAAATTCAGAAAAATAAATTTTACAGATTTTTTTCAAAATTTCTTTATTTAATCAAAGTTTATGCTTGTAACAATGTAAGTTTTTCACTAAGCTGATCATTAAGTTACACATTTATGAAAAATTATTTCATTATGCCATATTTTTCATTAAAGCAAAACTTGCAATAAAGTTGTTCGATTTTGCATACATTTATGTATCTATATTAATTGTGCCTATATTTTATTTTATTCCAGTGTCTTTGAATAAATTAGAAAAGAAAGCAAGGTAAGCAAAGTACTTAATTATATTTCAAAAGTTTTTAAACTGGTTTTTATTTAAAAATATTGTTTGCTTTTATTTAAAAGAAGATAACAATACAAAATTTTAAAAATGTACTGAAACTCCTAAAATTTAGAAAGATATGGCATTTTTTTTTTTTTTTAAACCTTGAAAAACCTACTTTTTTCTTATGTTATAGTACAGCAAACAATAAATTTTCTTAACAATTTCTGATTTGGTTATTATATACAGTGTGCAAAACATTAACGGACCATCCTGAATACCTTTAGATCTAATGATCTTCACTTTCTAGAACTCGATTTTAATGCTTTGAGACAGTGACCTCAAATAAGCTAATAAATTAGTAGTTGATGATATTTAGAAAATCAGACGCAAAAATATATTTTTCTCTGAATATACCTGCGCTCTTTTCTATGGATTTGGATCAGAAGAGAGTCCAAAGTTTAAATTGGCTTAGAAAGTTCTTGAGATACGACGAAATATGTAAAAAAAAAAAAAAAAATGACATTAAGGGACCGAAACTTTGAACCACTGTTCTGGCCAAACTAATGGAACCATATTTCCTAAATTGCAAATGCCCCCTATATTTTGGTGTTCTGAAATCGTAAAAAAAGAGTATTTTTATTCACAGAGAGAGTATGTTTTTGTGTCTGGTTTTGTAACTTAAAATATTGTCTCCACTAATTAATTAGCGTATTCGAAGTCACATCTTGGATTATTAAGATTGAGTTCTAGAAGGTGAAGATCCAATCATTAGATTAAAAGTTAGTCAAGGTGGTCCATTTTTTTTCTCACTGTGCATGTATATAATTGTCTTAATAAACTACCAATTATAAATTATTAAAGGTTTACTAAAGAATTCTAGGGCTAGATACTTTGCAGCCCTATTTTTTCCTTATATAATCAGAATTTTTAGAATATAATGCATGAAAAAATTTTTAATTTATAAAATTGATTACTGAATATGTATAAGGAAATAAAACCTATTAATATAAACAATTTTTCTTGTAAATTTCATGTTTATTTTATTTGTACTAGCACATTGGAAAAATACCTTATCATATTTTTACCAATAATCTTGCCAATTATTTTTTATAATTTTTTTTAGTGATTTAAGATACACTTTTCATTTAAATTTTAATTAGTTGAAATAAAATGAAAATACTATGACACCAAAATTCTGGGTTTTTAACCAAGAGGTTTTTGACATAACTTTTTTGACGTCATGCCAAAAACTTGCCAACATCACAACTTGCAACAAAAACTTGCCAACTATGAAAGGAAATAAGTAATTAGTTGTAAACTTTAAATGACCTAAAAGCTGTTTCTTATATTCATTCAAAGGTCTTGACTCTTATTTGCAAAGGTCTTGACTCTTATTTGAATTTTTATCTTATTTGCTTATAATTTTAACATAGTGTATTTTAATGGTATAGTTTCCATTTTCACTGTTGATTAATTAAATTATAAATTTATGCTTTCATCAAAACTTGAAATAAAACCTAAAGCATAAAATTAAATTAGAAGCAAATTTGTGTAAAACTGATGCACAAATTTATTGTGACTGTGATTATGAAAACCATTGTTTTGAGATAACAGTATTTAAAATTTTAATATTCTATCTAATTCAAGATTGTTTCAATGCCAAAAACTTATGTTTCGAATTATTTTGAATTTTAGCTTTATACTTTTAAAAAGATGTTCTAATGTATTAAAATTATAAAATAGTGCTGTCTTCCAATAAATTTTTTATTTTAATGAGTAAAAGTTTTTCTTTCTCTTTTTTTTTTCCAGTATGTTACGAGCCAAGCTTGGGTTTAAGCCTAAAGATACAGTTGCACAAAAAGGTTTGTTGTATTTTTAATTTTATTCTGAGTATTGTTTCATTATAATTTGTATTATGACACTATTTACTTTCAGTTAATAGTATTTTTATTGTTGTAAGTGTTGTATTAATTTCAAAATGATTTTGTCTAAAACTGTTATTTGTTTCTGAGAAATATATTAAATAACTTTTTTTTTATTGGAAATTTTTAATCAATTTGTCTTGAGTGTGTTGTTTTATATACTCAAGGCAAATTCATATTTTTATTTTTGTATTCATAATTTTAATTTTGTTCTTCATTTGTTATTACAGCTTATGATGAAGAGGATGTGCTTGAAGCTAAGTGAGTATTCCATATTTTTAATTATAAGTAAATGTTTTTTTTTTCTTTTTTTGAATAATTAGAAAACTTTGCTGCAATTGAATTCTTATTAATCTTTTAACTACTATGGTATTCGTTTAATGAAGTAAAGCTTTTCAAATAATTTTGCCTTTCATTTTACAACCCATAGAAAGTGAGTTCAAAGTTAATGTAATGTTTAGCTTCTTACTTTTTAAATGATGGCTTGTTCACTTAAGATATTTGTTTTGATATATTGGTTACTTAGTTGACTTAACCGTGGAATCGTCCATTTAGGAAATGTCATCAAAATTCCTTCAAGAATTTGAACTTCCACTATTCATGAAGTAGGCAATAAATAGATAAGACCGAAATATTGAATTTGATGTCGGAATGAACCTTATATTAATTTTATGATTAAACTATAAAAAAGGTTTTTTTTTATAATTTAAAGCATGTATGAACAGATATAATTTATTTTATTTTATACAAAATTGGCAAAATATATTGTTTATATTCAATGAATCTAATGTCCAAAAATTTACAAGAAAATGTGAATTGCTTAATTCAGACTTAGCTCAGGAATGAGATATTGTCCCCAAAAATATGAGACCACTATTTATAAAAATAAAGTATAAATCTAGTGAAAAAAAATTAATCTTAGTGCCATTATCGATTGTATTTCATAATAATATACTCATTGTAACAAATAATAACATACTTTTGTCTTTCAGTAAACTCCGAGCTAAATTAGGTCTTATTAAATCCGAAGAAGCCAATCATTCTTCTGGTATGTTTTATTAATTTTTTTGTTGACATTTTCCCACTGTATATTATACATGTTTGATCAAAAATTTTTAAAAAAATTATTTAAAATAGAAATTTTATTTGTTGTTTTTTATTTATGGTTACAAGTAATAAAATATTTTTTTTATTTATTTTTAGCATCTCTTGATCCTGATATCATTGAAGCTAAGTATGTAGTATATCAATTAGTTTTTTTTTTTTTTTTTTNAAGTTTTTTTTTTTTTTTTTTTTTTAATTTTGCATTAATATGCTTGTTATTGTTATTCTGATTTTTACTTTTTTATAGCCGCTTGAGAGCTCAACTAGGCCTAAAACCTTTAGATACTTCTGAGGATATTCCAGGTAAGAATTGTTTAAAGATTCCTTTACTTTTGTAAATTTTAGAGAATTTTTTCACCTATAAGCCTTTTTTCTATTTAATATCATGGAAGTGACTAATTTATTATGTGGAGAAGGAAGGTCATAATACTGCCTTCTATATGTAGGATTGCTTTTTTTTTTTTTTTTTTTTTTTTTTTTTTTTTTTTTTTTNTTTTTTTTTTTTTTTTTTTTTAATTGTAAACTAGGTCAAACCTTTTTCTCATTATCTATGGAATTACAAAATGTCAAAAATTGTAGCAAGCTATTTGTGATAATTATTTTTTTGATTGTAAGTATTTATTTTTAATTATTAATAAGGAACCTACTTAACCTTATTAATAAAGAACCTACTTATTGACACAATAATATGATTTGCTCTCATTAATAGCTTTAAAGGGACCATGTAAAATTGTCTTTAAGTAGGGTGTTCTTAAACAGAATTCTTTTAAAAGTAATTAATAAGAAACTTTGCTCTTTTGAAAGGAAAAATCCTACTTATTGAATGCTGTAGTCAATAGCAATAGTTAAATCTGTTTAGTAAGTTAGTGGAGACTTATGTATCATTTCATTTTCAATGTCGCTTTCTTCATTTTCATTAACGCGGTTTTCGGTAATTACATATATATCTTAAATTAGTTGTTAAAATTTCTTCAATGTAGTTAAAGAACTCTTTTAACCAAACCCCTTCCATATTTTTTTCCAACCCTATTGCAACCAAACATCTTTTATCTCACTAAGTTGAAAGAAATTTCTTATTTGCTAAAAAATTTCGCCTTTCAGCATCCATTAAATAGAGATTTTTTTATTATGAGCAAGCCAGTATTACAACCTATCATCTTCAGTAAGGACTATCATTAAGAAGAATGCTGTTAAAAAGAGGCTCAACTGTGTATTCTAATTAAAACTGTTAAGACTTTTTTATGTTATATTTTTGCATATAGAAATATGTAATAACATATAATGACTGTGATTGTAAAAGTGAACTGGATTTTACAAAAGGCTATGAAACATATACATAACCTCTCTGTGCCTCACGTCCTTTTATTAGGACATTTCTTTTTCACAAAAAAGAAAAAAAGTCGTACCTGATATGTTTCATTACTAGTATTTATTTTGCAAAAACAAAGTAATTCTATCAACCTTATTATGTCAATGATATAAATATTTATTTTTAAATAAAAAGTCGAAGCATAGCCCTTTTTAAAAATTAAAGTGGTAACTAACAGAACGAAACATCCACTTGGTGTAAACAAGTATAAACTACCACTTTTTCCCTATTGGTGTTTTTCATATATGGACCATTTTATAGGGTTGGGGCATAGACAAGTTAATTTAATGATTTATGTTCAATTTAAATGTTAGACTAATTTATCTATAAACGTTTTTTTTTTTCTTTTATAGAGCGGAGCGAACCCCAGCTATCATTGAGCATATCTGACACTAAGTAAGTTGCATCTCAATTTTCATACTTCATATTTTTGTTGTACATATCAAAGAGTTTGGTTTTATTCAACATTTACTGTTGAAGATGCCAACAAAAAAATAAAAGTGAAAAACAAAACAAGAAAGACCATGATAGCCTCAAGATATGGTGGCCGTAACCCGAAGGTTTATTTATTAATAGGTGACAAATGTCTATCCCATGTGTTGTCATTCAAAATATTTGAAAATGTTTATTGGATATTGAGACAACTTTTAATCTGAATCTCAGCTTTTTACTAATTTTTCACCCCACACAATTTATTATTTGGAAAGAAACAGAATTTGCTTACATTTACTTTTTGCCTTGTAAACATAAGAAACACTTAAGAAATCAAACGTCCTGACTTTTGGTTAAAAATCAATTTTACTCAAATGTCAAGCTGTAACATGATATACTATTGTAAATTAATCTTTTATTAAGGCACTAGTAGTGGTTCTTAATTTAGTTGTAAATTTTTTTGTTATTTCTTCTAATTCTTGTTTCCCAATGTTTTATCTTCCAAAAATCAACGCTTAAGCAGGTAAAGTTTCTTCTGGTAAAATTGATACTTTCTGCCATATAATTTTTAACATTATTTCTTCTAATAAACTTATAGATCTAATCTTACCTACCCTCAAAAGTAAGTTATTGGTGAATGAACATACTGTATATCCCAAAGTATTAGTAAACTTTTCAAAGCCCTAAAATTTTATGAAAATCAGGATATTGACTTATACACCCGTAATAAAGTCAGACGATTGATTTGATTATGAAATATCGATTTCTTTTAATAAACTTATAGATCTAATCTTACCTACCCTGAAACGTAAGTTATTGATGAATTAACATACTGTATATCCCAAAGTATTGATTAACTTTTCAAAGCCTGCTTTTTTAAATCAATTTTTTGTTAAATATTTAGCTTAATTTTTAAACTTAGATTAAAAGCTTTTGTGTTATTATTATTATTATAATTATTATTATTTTTTTTGTAGCAAGCTGCGAGCAAAGTTAGGATTAAAGCCACTTGAAGTTGGTAATGATATTCCTGGTAAGTTCTAATTAATTTGTTCATTTATTAAGTTCAATAGGTCGAATTATTTGTTATTTATTCTTTTTATTTTATTTCCAAAATTATTTATTACATAATCGTTTTTTTTGTAGGCCTTGAAGACGGCGATAAAGAAATTTCGAAGCCTGCTGCTGAAATTTTTGTCAAAACTGAAAATATCAGTGAAAAGAAAAAATCTGAAGCACTGCGTGAAAAATTAAAAGTCACAAAAGAGAAAAGGAAAATTGAGAGTAAATTAAGGTAACATTACCCACTTTTTCTTAGTCTCAAGTTTAAAATTTTGCACACGTCTAGGAAAAGTTCAATATTCTGTGAGCAATGAGCCTGGCCTTATATTTTCCTAACTTTCTAAAAAATATGAGTACAAAACATTTTTTTTCTCTTTTTTTTTTTTTTAGAAAACTACTTTTTTTTATAACAAAGCTTCTAATAGTGTAGCTAATGATGGCCAGGACTAATAATAAGAAAAGTTCATAAACAAACATTGTATAAATCATAAACATTATGTTCAGGATTAATAATAAGAAGAAAACTTCAATGGTATTTCTTTTTACTGAAAAATATTGTTAAGGATTTAAAATAAGTAATCTAAATTTTGAGAAGTGAAAGAAAAATTGTCTTAAAGTTCCTAGTATTGATTTTTTTTCTGTATAGAATGGCCAATTCGATTTCATTTCATTAATTTATTTTCTATCAACAATTGGTTGAAAAGAATCTCACATAATACATTGATACTATGTAGCATAATATAGGATGCAGAATTACAAATGTAAATTTTGTTTTTTTTTTCCCACACAAAGCATGAAAAATATTAATTTTATAGCTTAATTGGTAAGTCATAACACTGTATTGGTACACCAATATAAGGGCTCTCATTTCTCTCAATGCATAGGAATTCCAGCACATGATGACGAAGACAATGTTTGTTTTCTTGTTTCAATGATATTCTGCAAACTAAATTAGTGATGACTTAAAGTTAATTTTTAATTAATTAGCTCTAATTATAAAATTCTTAATTTTCAGGAATACAAAAGGAATTGCTGATACAGATTCAGAAGATGAATCTGCTGCTTCATGGGTTATAAAACACCAGAAATTATTGCAAGAGAAAAAGGCTGCAGAAAAAAGGGTATGATTTTAGATATTTTCAGTTTTAAAACTTAATGAAAAACTTTAATAAATTCATAGACCCTGAAAGAGATAATTTGAATTTAGCTGAAATACTAAAAAATGACGAATTTCTTCCTTTTTTCCTCACCTTTTTGCTGACAGAATTTTTTTTGTACCTTAAATCCTGTTGAACTAACTGTCCATGATAGTAAATTTTAAAAATTTTATGCTTACATGCTGTTTAGAAGCTAATTTGCCTTATTTTATGCTTAAATAATCTTGCCCTTTTTTGTAAACTGATGGCTAAGGTTTGCAGTAAGTCTGTTAAATTGAAATAATTCTATTAATCAAAGACAAATTTTGTTAGAAATAAATAAGAAAAATTTATCATCAGTACATAAACAATATTCTTAAACTGTTTTAAATGACTTGAAAACTTTTTAGGCTAAACTTTTAGAAGAAATGGATAAAGAATTTGGAGTTGGTGCTCTTGTAGAAGAAGAATTCGATAAGAAGGAGGTATGTTCGATTAATTTAAGAATATGTTTTCTAGTATTTTATCTGTTGCCTTATTGATTTTGTTATTGAGAATTGTTTTAACTGACGTTTGATTGACCATTTCTTAACCTTTTTATGTTGGATTTTTGTCAAAATATAGTTCATGCCTATTAACAAGCCTCAAAAACTGATTATAGCTATTTTACCTGTCAAATTTCAAAAACTGTTAGATAATTGGCAAATTACACGGTGCCTGAATTACTTAAGGAAATAAATATATAATTTAAATAATTACTTTCTTGATATTTTATAACAGTACATTGAAATTACTTCATTGAATTTCATTATTACATTGAATTTCACTTTTATGTAAACAGGGGTGATTGTGCTCTGGAAAAATTCCGGATTTTTCGCTAACCGCGATCCGTAAGTTTCCGGAAATCAAAAGTTCAGAAGTTTCCGGAAATCATCGATCACATTTATATATAAAAATTCTTGTATATTTTATTTAAAAATATTAGAACTGGAATTTATACTTAGCATCTCTTTCATTTGTAAATATTTTTTGTGGTAGAATAATAAATGTGATTAGAGATAAAAGTAAACTTACACATAATTATTCATATAAATTATGCTACATATAATTCATTTAGAATATCATGTTTTGAAAATTTCAATGATTTAAATTTATAAAGAAATTAATTTTTTGAATGATTTTACTCAAGAAATTTTCAGGATTTTTGAGTTGGGCCCACAAATTATCCCTGTGAAAACTATTAACTGATTTTTTTAACTTTAAAAATAAACTCTTTTAGGTGTACTCAGCACAAAATTTGAAAGGTCTCACTATAGGTCATTCTATAACCTCATTTCAAGAAGGTCGTGATGTAATCCTCACATTGAAAGATAAAGGTAGTATTGAGATTCATTTCTCATCATGCATAATCTTTAATATGTTCTGAAAAATTTAATAAATTGTGACCTGTGTTGTTAAATATTTTTTTTTTATTAAAAAGTTGTTTTTTGAATTAGTGCCTACTTTAATAACACCACAAATACCAGTATTTTGTATTTTTACTTGGTTAAAAAAATATTTATGTAACTATATTTTAATAACATCACAGAATCGGAGATAAGTTGGCTGTTCTACTTCACAATCAAAATAATTTAATTTTTGAAGTTCATGAATTGTATTTGTGCTTAAGCAAAAAAATAAATATAATAAGATTTTTTTATGTAACTTTATTTTAATAACATCAGAGATAATTTGGCTGTCTCAAAACCAGTATTGTTTATCAAATTCAAAGCTGCTATTATAGGAAAAAGAGTAGGAAGATTAAAAACTAAAAAATTTGCCAATAAGTTCTTTCATTGAGCCGTAATGGCTCAGGGGATAGAGCGTTCGCCTTCCAATGAGGTGAACCGGGTTCAAATCCCAGCAATGGCTGGTCAATACGAATTACGTATATGGCTTGCACTGACCACAGTGCTCATGTTAATTATCCGGAGTGGTAGACGGATTGTGGACTGGAGTCCCCTTGCCATCAGGCTAACCATGGGAGACTTTCGTCCCGTTCATGTAACGCAAATGCAGGTTAGTTCCATCAAAAAGTCCTCCACAAAAGCAAATTTCTCCCAATACTTGATCAAGAAGTTCCCCTGTCTTCTGGATTAGGTTCAAAATTACAAGGTTATGGTGTTGAACGCTAGTAGTCGTAAACCCTTTAACCCAAAAATTGGGTCGGTTGTTCAACAACGGTTATAAATAAAAATAATTTAAGTTCTTCCAGGGGCGTGGTGGCTATCGGGATAGAGAGCTCGCCCCACAATGAGGTGACCCAAGTTCGAATTCCTCACCCGGTTCGCACCGACCACAGCTGACGTAAAATATTTTCAGTGGTAGGCGGAACTTTGGTTAGAATCTTCTTGCTGTCAGGCTAACCGTGGATGGTCTTCCTCTCCATATAACGCAAATGCAGGTTACTTGTATCAAAAAGTGCTCCACGATGGCAAGTTTCTCCCTATACTTGATCCAGGAGTTCCCTTGTCTTCTGGATTAGATTCAAAATTACAAGGTTATGGAGTTGAACATTGGTAGTCATAAACTCAAATTTTGCCTGTTCAACAATGATTATAAATTGAAATAAAACAAGTTCTTCGTTTGGTACTCCGCTCTCACCCACCACAGTGCTGACGTAAAATAAACTCAGGGTTAGGCGGATATTAGTTTAGAGTCCCCTTGCCATTGGACTAACTGTGGGAGGTTTTCTTTTCCATGTTACATGAATGCTGGTTAGTTCCTTAAAAAAGTCTTCCAAGAAGGCAAATTTCTCCCAATACTTGATCCAGGAGCTCCTTTGTCTTCTGGATTGATTTCAAAATTACAAGGCTACAGAGTTGAACATTAATAGTCGTAAACTCAAAATTGGGTCTGCTGTTCAACGATGGTTATAAAATAAAAAGAGCAAGCTCTTGCCATTAGATTTTGCAATGTTTTATTACGGCTATATTTTATTTTATTAACTTTTATCAATAGCTTTGTAATAGCTTTTTTTTTAAATATGCTTTTGAAATCTTTTTTAATTATTTTATATTTATAATTCTTAATTAATTTTAGGAGTTCTTGAAGAAGAAGATGATGTATTGGAAAATGTAAACATTATAGACAGTGAAAAATATGCTAAAAATGTGGAAAATAAGAAGAAAAAGCCAGACTATAGACCTTATGAAGAACCTGAATTTGATGAATTTGGAATAGTATGTTCTTCCCTTCTTTCTAAAGAAAACTTAATACATTAGGACTTTAAAATATTATCAATTTAATTAAAATCAGGACAGAAACTTTTATTTCATACCAAATTTGCATTTAATCAATATTAATGTTATTGTAATGATTTTTTCCTAGCTAAAGAAGAAAAATCTTTTATCTAAGTATGATGAAGAGATTGAAGGGGAAAAGAAGAAGAGCTTTAAAATAGGTGAATATATGGCAGAAAGCCCTTACTATTCTTAATCAAAATTAATTTTTAATTATGAACTAACCACAAACTGTTTTTCTTTTCAGGAACTATGAATAATAGTTCTTTTGTCAGTAAAGAACAAGAGCTTGAACTCATTAGAATGAAGCTGAAGCAGCAAAATGAAGTAACTTTTTTTTGTTCTTATTTTAGATTTAAAAAAAATACATTTTGAACATTAGTCATGTTATGATTTTTTCACATAGTCTTATGTTATTCTACGTGAAATTAATTTGTAAATAAATAATTTTCGGAAGTTTATAATAATTACGAACTATTTGAATTTTTTAATCAAAATCCGTTAAACCTATATCAATGACTTAAATTCAGGTTTTGTGAACTTCTTGCATGACAATCTCTTTGTTAATTCATGTTTTACCACTCATATAGTAAAACTTTTATCATTTAAATAAAGGTTTAAGTGGGGTCCATCCTTCTGTGAAGGGAAAGATACTTCTCACCAACTTACTGTATTGATTGTTGCACAGGAAAATGTGATAATTAAATTTTAAATTCAAAGCATTTTTTTAAAACTTTTATGATCAGGGTTATGATTATATATTCAGACTTTTTATACAATTAAATACATTGAATATCCTGGTCTGGGCAAGGTTGACTCAGCTTTTAATCCCTTCTGTGGGTCCATAAAATGAGTTCCAAGCGTGTTTGGGGAGCTAAACACTATGGGGTTCCACGTTCGAGTGACCACCCATCAGGATCTGCTCCTACAACCCAGAGCCCAAGGTCAAGAAAACTGAGATGGGCATAGTAGGCTTTGGCACTCTGTGGGCTGTCGCGCCACTGAGTTTAGTTTTAAATACATTGAACTTTGTTTTATTGATTAGAAAAATTAATAAAGTATTTGTTTATGCATTTTAGTACCATGGAAAACATTACAGAACAGTTATATACATTAGCCTGATCTAATTCCTTCCATACAAATTTAACGAAAGTAAATTAGTTGATTACATACACACTTTTTAATTTTGTGTTAAGTAATATATTTTCCCTTTAGAGTATGTTTAGATATTAATTTTTATTTTTTTTAATAGATGTCTCTTGAAATGCCAGATATGAAAATTGCCAATGAATATTATACTCCTGAAGACATGGTATGTATTTTTGAGCAAATTTATTTTAACTTTTATATCTGCCCTGTGAATGCCTAATTGATGAAATGTTAACACAGGTGGGCATTGGGAATAAAATTTAATTTTTTTTTTAAAACTTTTGTTATTTTTTGTGAAATAATACTATTTCAGCTATTTTGTCTGTAGTGGTGACATAACAATGTTCTCCCTAAGTGTTTTTAGAAGGGAGGCTTGCCCTATCTGCCCTTTGATCCCTGTAAATGTGCCCTTTTTGGAAAAATAAGCCGCCATGCCTTAAAAACACTGCTTTTTTACTCATATTCCATTTTAAAAAACTAAGAAACTGTTTAATAAATACACACTGATAAAATTATCTGTATTTAATTCTGATAACTATTTCAAATATTTAATATGTTAGGATAATTCTCTGCTGGTTTAATTTTTATAAGTTTCTCTTTTTTGAATGAATTTAAGTGATTTTAAATTCTAAAATTATTTTTTATAAATACCTCTTTTTTAAAAAAAAAATACACCTTTTAATGTTTATTTTGTTCATAATTTTCAGTTTGAATTAAGCTTTTAAATGATTAATGATTAAGCTTTTAAATGATTTGTCAAAAAGAAATTTATGCTAAGGGTTCGTCTTTTAGCATCCCTTTAATTATTTTTTATAAACTATGAATTTTTCTCTGGTTTTGATAATGTGTAAGAACTACATTTCAAAATATATATATAAAATAATATAAGATAATTTAAAAATTGTTGAGGTTCACATTCAGTTATTACATAATATTATGCAATTTGATAAATATTTACATTGTTAAGTGAATGCCCTTTCAACACTCAAAGTACCCTTTTCTGTGAGGAACCGCCCTGACCTTTATTCCTAAGGAGAACTCTGGACATAGTAAGGTTCAACTAATAAAGTATTTGTTAATTAAGAAATGTTCATATATATTGTTCATTGAAAATTACAATATTTTACACATAAGTACAAATTTACCACTTAACAAAACAGATACGCAAACATATAGGGGAGAAGAAAAATTCTAATTTTTTCATTTTATTTCATGTTAGTGGCTTTTCTGCTACTTAATCAACCCTTCATAGTTCTCATCTTCTACATCATTAAGACCTTGACTGACTTCTTTAACTTCTCATTGATTAATATTTCCAGCTATTTTTCTTTTTATTCTTTGTTTTGGACTGGCTAAGACATCTCTGTTCATTTTTTGATAATGTTATTGTACTCATGTTATAAATAGTGTTTTTGTAACACATAAATATTTGTTCTGAAAATTTTGTTTTTCAATAATATTACAGTGTCGCAGAAATTATTTAATCCCAATAGCTATGTGTGCAGAAATCATTTGGTTTTATTCTGCTCTGCTTCTGTATGGAGCTGATACTACTGTCTGCTTTATGAACTTGTTCATTTTTATTTACTACCTAGTTTTACTACTTACAGAAAAATAATCTTTCCGAATTTAAAATTTTTGACGTATTTTTTTTTTCCTTCTTTTTTCTTTTCTTTTTCAAATAGATACAAATTCAATGATGTATATAATTAAAATTTATAAAAGATAAAGATATTAACTTGCTAATTATGGTTAATTATTTGAACTGAGATACTCGAAATGCTGCAAATTTTAATCATCATTATCGTGAAGTTTGATTATCTTGCTTCACTAACTCACTTCTGTGCAGTGTCTTCAAAAATTTACAATTCTATTCTGATTTTTATATTGATAAAACTTTATAAATTAAATAAAATTCTATCTCTTAGTGTCACCTATTGTTAAGCTAAGGTTTAGTATTTAATCCTTTTTACTGTAACATTTCTATGTTATATTTTAAAACACGTCATTTGGGATCATCTGAGCAGCCATTTTTGAATCATGATTGCTTGAAGCCCTATAACTTAATTTATAATTGACCAAACTTTATCAAATTAGACCTCCAAATTAATTTACTTAAAGACTAAGGCTTTTGGATACATTTTAATATTACTGCAGGAAATTGTTTCTGTGTTATTACAAAATAAATAGCTTTAACAAAATTTATATTTTAGATTAATATCTGTGTAAAGTATTCTTTTCTTATAAAGATATTGCAGCTCTAAAATTCCTTATCTAAAGGCTGTAACATTACAATCTCGATCTTTATGTAACCCTACTGAAATGTCATATTATAACCTTATACTTGAATGTAATTTAGAAGACTACTCCTATAATATGATTTATAATATTAAAATGTTTTCTCTTTTAAGTAAAGGTTAATATGAAATAAATTATATTGCAATAATTTAAGGATTTAGCACACATTTGAATTTTATTAAATTTTAAAAGTGAACTTTTTAGGGTTTCAAAGATACTTTAATTTTTCCTTACTCTTAAGGTACCTACATGATACAATTTCACTTTGGTGTAGACATTAATCGAAAGCCAATGACACTACTGCTCATTATATTCAATATGCTTTTTTTCCATCTTTATTAAAACGCAGTACTTAAATTTAATACTTAACTGCTGTTTGTAAGATTCCGTCTTTCATTCCAATGCTCTTTCGTGTTTGTTGTCCCAAAATAAAGTTTTTAGGGCTAATTGTATTGCATGTGATCTCTTCCTGAACTGCAAAATATACACCAGACAAATATATAATTTAACCATGCTACACTCTTGACAACAATATTATTAAACTCTGAGGAATCATTTGGCCAGATGCATTTGGGGAATTTGAAAATAACACAAGAAAACCTGGATTTCTCAAGGAAATTTGCTGGGGAAGTTTTCTTGAACCATCAGCATTTAGCTCTTATGTTTGTCATATTCATTGAAATAAATATGACATTACAAATAATTTTATTTCTAGTGTATCACTATATTATTTGGCGCTTTTATGTCACAAATTATTTGGTTGAAAGCTTACGCAAGAACACTTTAGTTTATTTTCTTGTAATAAGTGTTATCTTAATTAATTAATAATTTCATATTTCTTAACATCTTAAAACATTTTTAAAACAAATTCCTATCTATCAATCTAAAGCCTTTAATAAAATTAATAATGTAATTGAAATTTTAGGCATAAAATAATTAACAATTTTAGTTTGAAAAATCAACACTATTGGTTTAGCATTTTTTCTGCATATATACATAAATTTCAATAATAAAAATATACATAAATAGTATATACAAATATATTTGTGTTAATTTAAGTTATAAAAATTTTCAAAACTTTTTGAACATTTTTATTTTCAAACTTTACTTTAGAAAATCTGGGAAATTAGTTATGACTAGGGTTGCAAGTTTGTCGCGGCGCGAATTTTCGCGACCGTTTCCGCGAATTTTCAAGTTTTTTTCAAAAATTCGCGAATTTTTTTAAAATTGCACGATTTGAACGAAAGTTATTCAATTTGCGCGATTTAAATGAAAATTATTCACAATTTGAAGTTATTTTTTTCTGTTTTATCTTATCAATAAAAATATATTTGTAGTTATTATTTTTCTGAAGTTTAAAAATTGATTATATTTTTTCAAAGCATTCACAAAAGTATCTAGCAAAATGACATTAGAATTGGGTTAGGCTCTATACAAGCTCCTCGCTTTTGTATTGAAATTGAATACCATGAACAAACTGAAAGATAAGATTTTCTACATTCTAATTCTTCATAAATCTATCAATTCTTATCTCCCCCTCCATTGACCAGAGGGACAGTCCTCTCACTGTATGAGCCCCCATCTTATAGCACTCACCATGTAAAGGGGGGGGGGCAACCACAAGACTTTTGTAGTTAACAAATTATTTGGGGTATTGAATTTCATTGCTGGAATTAGTAGGACTGAAAAGTTGATTGAAGACTGATGGTCACAAAAAGGTTGGTCTTTTTGTTGACTGATTGACACCAATGCCTCCCTTTCCTAACAGTCAACTAGAATATAAAAGATAAAGGAAAACAAAAGAAGAAGTAAAATTGACTCTTTCACAGGAAATTCCTAGTAGTAAGAAGGTACATATATTTACAGTGATTATTTCAATAGGTACAGAAAGGCATGTGGAAATGCTTGTCGAAGATGGAGCGCTATCCAAAACTGTCTAAAGTGGCAATTCGATGTTTGTCAGTACCAACTAATAGCGTGGATGCTGAACGATCTTTTTCAAAATACAAAAATGTATTGAGTGATGAAAGGAGAAACATTAGCGAGAATAACCTAACCATGTATAATATTTTGTTCCAAAATTCTGTACATTTAAGTAACGGCATCAATATTGCTTAAAAATAAAATTTGTAACTTTTTTGTTTTTTATTATTTTTAAATTGATTTTCGGTGTAAATATCAGTGCATATGTTATCCGCGAAAATTTCGCGAATTTTTAAAACTTTTGCGCGAATCACTCGCGAATTTATGTCTTTTTTTTCCCGCGACAAACTTGCAACCCTAGTTATGACTAGAGTAAGACCACTCTTAAAGCCAAAATCATCTGTCAGAGATGGTGCAGTGCAATTAGAATAATATTGGCTCAAAATTTCAAACAAACAAAGCAAAAAATTTGTAAGTTTCATACATGGGCATCTCAGATATTTAATTTTTGAGGGAAACTAAACAAAAATGCACTGTTACATTAGTTCTCAAAATGTTTTCTATCTCAATTTCGTCCATTTGCTAAGTTATCTGCAAAATAATTTTTTTTTGCTTGTTTTTAAAGCTAAATTTAAATCAATGATTATTCATGAAATTCCAATTTATTTGAAAATATGAGGGAGGACTTTTTTTAAATTTCTTATTATTGAGGCGGAGACATACCCACCGTTTCTCTCACCAGTGAAGCCCATGGCTTAATGGAAGTTTCAATTTGTGTATTAAAATAAATATGCTGTTCTGTAAATGCTGAATAGTTTTAAACCTGTTAAGTTGGGCATTGTATCTCTGATCAACTGTACATCTGAATACTTTTGTCAGTTGTGCATATTTGAGCTTAAAATGCTTGAACTGTCAGGTTATAAATTACTATAATTGTCAATAAATTACTATATTTTTAAGTAGAAAGTAATAGTAAATTTTTTAAAGCACACTGTTGTGTGCTTAAAATGTGATTTCTTTTACCGTTTTGCTTTGATGATACAACAGGTGATTCCTGACCCTTCAGGTGCAGTTCAGAAAGCCAAAGAAGAAGAAGAAAATCCGCAGAAATATACTGAAGGCAGACGATTTGTTAGGAAATACTATGGAGGAGGCTGAAAGAGACTTTGGATCTCGGTGAGAATAATAAAATTATATAATGTTCCATAGTCATAATCATTTATTTTTCTGTTGTTTATAATGCACCACTTCATAAACAAGAACTTTATTTAGCAAATTCTTGATCATTACAAATAGTAATTTTTATATACAGTATATATTCACAGTTTTGAAAAATGTGTTTGATTCCTTGTTGAGCTGAGTTTAGAATTTCAGACAGGAACTTAATTAAATTGTAAATTTTGGCCTTGATTAGATGAATTTATCTGTACTGAAAACTTTATTCAAAATATCAGAGTTCAAAATCGAGAAATTCTGGGCTTACTTCATGAAACAGCTCGAATAAGCAGTTACACTAAGATATCCATAGATGGAAATTGTAAACTATTAAATAATGGTGTATAGTTGTGTATATGGTCTTCAAATACTTCATTGACACTGTCGATGCCAGACACAAAAAAATTTCTTTTTTGACTTTATAAAGAAAAGAAAAAACTGCTCATTTAGGTATGTTTTCTCAATTTCCAATAAAGAGAAATCTAACCAAAACTAACAACGAAAAATTTTTTTTGAAAATCTCTGGCAGAATATAAGAAGTTTCTAAAGCAGACCATGGCCACAAAGGCTTGTCGAGTCACTAAAGATAAAGAATTTAATGCGCAGTTGGCAAAGTTTGTTTCTCCTAAAATTACTTATAAATTGTGTTTGCATATGTAGTGTTTTGATAATTTGTTCTAATTATTATGCTCAGGCATTTTATTTTTCAATTGCTAAACTACAATTGTTACCTTTAAATCTTAGCTTCCTTTTTTGATAAATATTTCAATTACTTTCATTGTAATTCGTTCGATAGAATTAAAATTTATACTAAATGTTTTGCTAGTTGAACCTGCCATTTGCCCAATACCTTATTATTTGGCATTTTGACAAATACTTTGAGAATAAATAGATTTCAATTAAATGTGTTTTAATTATTTTTAATGATACCTGATAACCTTTAATGATATGAACCTTGCAATGAAATACTTAGAAGTGTGCAAAACCGTGAACAACTGATGAATTTAAACTAGCGTATAAAGAAAAAATTTAGAAAAATTAAGAAAGAAAAAAGAAATTAGTCCTTTTCTAAGTAGTAGCATGATGCAAATACTTAAGCATATAAAACCTCTTTATTAATACAGTCAGACCTCAATATAAGGTCACCCTAAGGGACATTGCAAAAGTGATCTTATAAGCGGGGTGACCTTTTAACCGATTCATAAGCAGTTCATAACTAAGCACGTAAATAGACATGATGACTTTTTAAAAATGTTAATACCAAGGAAAACGATCAGCCGTAAGTCAAATATTTAAGTCAATAAATTTTAACTGAATTAGTAAAAAATTAAAGAAAGTTAGATTTTTTAAACAAATTTTAATTTAAAATAAAGCTGTTTACAAATGTCCTCAAAGTGTACATACATACATTACATCTTACCTTATTTTAAAATAATCATTTATGCTGGTCTGTCTCGTTTTTGGTTTCATTTTTCGAACAGTGTTTTCTAGATTTTGTAACTTCTCAAAATGTTCCTCAGCTCCCTCATGGTTTGTAAAACAATTCGTATGACATTTATTGCATTGACGACTTCCATTTGGGTAACAGCTACAGTCTCAGGATTACTGTCATTGTCATCACTGTCCACAACTTGTGAAACAATTTCAGAAATTGTAGCTTGTTCGTTGACTGCAATATTTTCATAGAACTCGAGAGGGGTAATTGCCTTGTAAGAAAGTTAAATGGGCTTTTGTTAGAAAAAAGCTTCCCTCGTCTCAGATGAAAATGACCTTATAAGCGATAACGATTTTTAAAACTTGACCATATATCCGATAATCTGTAGCAAAGAATTCCTATTCAGTGAGCTGGGACTTTGGAAAAGTGACCTTATATGTGGGGTGCCCTTATATGCGGATGACCTTATATCGAGGTCTGACTGTATTACTAATTTGTCTATAAACAGTTACCCTCTAAAAAATTTTAAAAAAAAGTATTTATTTTTATTACTTAACTGTGTTAGTTATCAAATAAATTTTATTAGTTATAACTAACTATAAAAACTAATACTTTTTGTAGTTAGTATCAGGCTTCTTTGTAAGTCAGTAACAGTTGTGTAGACATTAAACGTTTCTCATATTTTTACTAAATAATATATGTAGTTAAAAATACATTTAACAATACTTGTGAAATTTAACAATATAACTGCAATCATATATATGAAACATCAATAACTCATAATTTTATTCAAAATATTATGTCATTTATGAATCAACTTGATTGTTAATTTATACATGATAATAATATGGATGAATTAAGGAAAACTGAATGTTGCTCACTTAATGTTTGATACAATGTGAATACTTTAGCTAATATAAAATTTTTATTCCTTTTTCCTCACCATTTACAAAATTTTTTTTCTATTCTTATAATTAGTTCTGAAAGTGGAAATAGTTTTTTTTGCTATATCCAAAAGAAATTCTTGTAATAGTGCATAAAAGTTTTATTTGTTTTTAAAAATCTACAAAATTTAATTTTAAAGTTACTGACTTGTTGCTAAATTTAATATTTTTTTAATGTTTAAATAATTTTAAAACTTAAGGTATTTTAATATATTAAGCTGTTTATTTTGCAGGAGAAATCGAAGACAAAGGGAAATGGATTTTGATGCCATCCCATCTGAGGAGCATAGTAGCACTGGCATTCCTTTAATTGAAAAAGGTTTTTATAAAATTTAAATGCTATTTCATGAAATTAAAATGTTTTTCTTTGGTCTTTTTATTGTTTCATACAATCTAATATCAATAGTTATAACTTTTGTCTTATTTTTATAGTAAAATAACAAATGAAAACGCGAATCTGTTTTGTCACTTATGATTCTTGTTGAAATGCAATAATTACTTTTTAAGAAATATTAAATGTTGAAACTAATATAATTAACCTTAGGATATATTAATAATTAATTATATTAAGATATATTGTAGTTGATAAGATATATTGTATTTGCATTTGAAAGTATTTTCATTAATTCACTCAGCACTTAAAAGTTTATTCAGATTGTTATATTTTCACTTTATAGAAGAGGTAGCTAATACATTCCAAAAGTTGTAATTACTAGATATTTTCTATGTAATTAATGAGCTCATCTTAATGATGTTAAAAATTTCATTGATCAATACAAAATTCAAGAAAATGCAAAAAATTAATAAAAACTCAATAAACTGAATGTGTGTAGATTTTGTTGCTTTAATCTTCTTTTAAAAATTATATTATTTAGTTAGTAAATTACAGATTTTTTTTTTACCAGTATTAATCCTTTTTGTATAATTCATATTTGAATCCCAAAAGATGAGTTAAAAATCATATTTGTCATCTCGGCTATAAGGTATAAGTTGTTGAGTATCATTATTTGGAATAAATAGACACCTTGTAAACCGTAGTGATATGAAAAGAACAGTTAAAATGTACATTTGTTTGCTTAAAAATGTACCTGATTTTTTCACTGGGTGGTGGCACAAGTAGTATCATATTATGGAACATTTGAGTTCACTACACTTATATACAACTTTTATAACTATAGCTTTAACTGCTCTAAATTTAAGAGGGTTGGTACAGACTTAGGGGGGTGCCATATATATTGACTATTGCCCAATACTTCATGGCTCCCTTTACTCTTTTTCTGTATAGTTATTTGTCCAAGATATTTGTCGTGATTTATAATTTTGATGATATATTTTCTTCTTTCTCTAGAGGATGAAACAATTTCAGATTTATCCAAGGTTGTTATAGATGAAGAATCGGCTGAAAAAGAATTGAGTGATGCTTTACATAAAGCTAGAAAATTGAAAGAAAGGAAAATAATGGCTACTGCTCCTGAAAAAGTATAAATATCTTTTTTTCTTCCTAGGAAATAATTTATTCCAGTTCATATGACAAAGTAGGATTAATTAAACTAATACAAATATTGTGTTGCATTCTTTCTCTTTTCTTTAAATAAATTAATAAAATAATCTAATTTAATAAAGGAGACCTAACTAAAAATTTTATGCATGTTTTTATATTGAAATTGAGCTTTAAATTTATAATGATTTAAATGTGGGTAATTGTAAAATATACAAGTTTTTTGATAATTCTTTTAAGATGGTATAATAAGGTCAAAAAAGGAATCGTGAAATATATATGATTAACAGATGCATTGCATGTTCCATTATTATACATATGGTTGAAAATAGGCTTTTCCACATTAATTTTTTCTCTCTTTTAACTTTGCTATTGTATTTGAAGTTTTGTTCATGTGTTGTAAATTGCCTTTTCTATAAAAGGTTCTCTGATATAAATTTTTTGCTTGCTTTTACCCTCTGAAAAATGACTTTTTCCTTTTAGAAATTTAATTTTAAATATCTTTTGCGTAATTAGTTTCTTAAAATTTTTTTACTGTTTTCATTTAAATAAACCATGATTTTTTTTTTTTTTTTTTTTTTTTTTTTTTTTTTTTTTTTTTTTGCTTTCTTTTAATTCACACACAATTTTTTAATTCTTTCTTAGCATTTTTATAAAAAATATCTTGCTATGATAAAAAAAAAAAATGTAGCTAAACTACTCTGTACTTTATTATTCAGTTATTTATTTATATAATCTACCATGTGTAATTTTATAGGTCATTGAAATATTGAGTAGTGTAGATGGATCTGGGAAACTTTCCCAGAAGGATAAAAGTGGAAATATTGAAATGAATTCTGTTGCTGAATTTTGCCGTACTCTTGGGGAGATTCCTACGTATGGTTTAAGTGGCAATCGGGATGAAGAAGCTGAAGATTTAATGGTAGTTATTTATTTTTATAAAATTTTAATGGATACTGTTCTTTTTAAACCATTTAATTCATAGGTTGTAAGTACATTCAGAGAAAGTAAAACTTCTACAAATTTATTTATTGCTTTGTATATGAACTTATTTAATATCACTCATAAGTATGATAAACTCGCCTATATTTCCCCTTCATCTAAAATTGTTTTGTAAACCAATGTTTTTTTTATTGTTTAATAATATAGCTTAATTTTGCACTTTTTTTAAAATCTAAATTGTAACATTGTTGTAGGAATGATTTTAGTAATTGAATTAAAGTTTTGCCTTAAAATGTTAGTTATTATGTAGCAAAACTTAAGATTTGACAACATTTTTTGATATTTTGAAAAACACAATTAAATTTTTTTATTAAAAGTTATATTTCAAAATTTGATATAAACAAGCTTTTTTTAATACTTATTTCATAGATTTTTTAAAATTTTTCTTTGAGTAAAAATTTTATTTTCAATAACTTCTTTTAATGTATGTTTTCTAAAATTTTATTTAAATTAAAATAAATATTTCATTGTGGTTTTAATTTAAGAGTTTTTAACCTTATTGTGCATTATATACTGTAGTATTTACATTTGATGAATTCTAAGTATTTTTCTGATTGAAATTAATTTTGTAAAGTTTCTTCCACTCAAAATGATATTTTTGCTATAATTTCATTATAATTTTCTATTTTGAAAGGATCTGGAACAAGAACTTTTGGAGGAGCGTTCAAAAGAAATTGATCCCCAAAATCAGGGAGCTTGGAATGAAGTTGATGTGGATGAAAAACCAGCTGAAATTTTGGTGAGATAATATTAACTAGTGTAGGTTTCATCTTTAATAACAAAAAATTATATATCTTTATTAGTTTCATAAATTATTTCTTATTTGTATTAAAGAAGAAAAATGCTATTGCAGCCACAATTTTTAGGAGCTAAACATTAAAAACTTGAATTTATCAGGGATCATTGCAAAATAGACAAAGTACAACGAAAATATTCATTTGATGAATAAATATCACTTTGCCCATTATGTTAAAATTAGTAGGTGAAAATATTTTTGATATTTTTTTCTTGCTTACATAGTTGAAAGGTTATTTATGTATTGTTCAAAATAGCAAGTTAAAATTTATACAGTTTTATGCCCAACCTTGTGTCGAATTAAATGAACAAGCACCTTCTGTAAAATTAACAAGTATTGAGAGAAATTTTAGTTTAACATGACAGCAAAAATTTTTATTAAGAAAATTTGAAAGTATTCTTTTAATTTGATGCCCTCATAGGAACATCATTGATGAACATCTTTAGATGAATATTTTTTTTCCTTTATTCTGAGATATTCTGATGACTTTTTTTTGTGAACTTAATCATTTTGTTTTTGCATCAGGCTTATAAATTATCTTGAGTTGCCTTAAAATTAATAGATACACAACTCTTTTGCAATTAATTTCTAATTATCTTAACTTTTAATCAAAGTATAATTAGTTAAATTTTCAGAAATCATTGATAGCTGTGGTATTTAATTTTGGAAAGAAAAAAAATTATAATTCGGTATTGGTGTATAAAACCAGGGTTCGTGATTTTTTTGATTTTTTTAAAAAAAATCAAAAGAATCAGATTTTTTTTTATTTAAATCAGATTTTTATTCAAGTACACTGTAAGAACTTTAATTTATGATTTAAAAAAATTACAAATGTTTAATCAAATTAACTGAATATTAAAACTATATTGTAACAATATTTTAGAAGCTCTAACTAAAATAATTTTTCATTATAATACATGGCTTTGAATGCATAGCAACCATTTTGAAACAAATGCATGATTAAAATTTAAAGACTAGATGTAATAGAGAATTTAAAGAATACTTCAGGGGTCTGTCTGGGTTTTTCTGAGAGATACCTATTTTGTGAAAATTAAAAATTATATTAAAAAATCAACACAAATATAGTAAAAATATGGATTTATCGTTTCCTACGAGACACAAAAATAAAATTTTAAGAAAAAGTATTTTGTGTGATTATTCTATCATTTTTCCTAAAGTTGAATTTGTAAAGGTACCGTTAAACGGTAGTAAATTTGGCTTGGACAGACCCCTGCACTTTAACTATTAAAACAAAGTTTCAGTTAGCAAACCATAACTTTAATTTAAAATTGTGATTTCTTTTTTTTTCTCTTGATTTTTAAAATGACAAAATAAATGTAGCAGACTGTGTTTATAAATGTAGTCATTCATCAAAAAATAAATAAATATTTAATCTATATATTTTTATATTAAAATATTCATTTTTAATTCTATATCAAAATAGATAAGTTAAGCTAAAAAAAAAATTAGAAAATCTATGTATTCATTGGAATTTTTTTTCACAAAATTTCTTTATAGAAAATCAGATAATGTCAAAGATACTGTAAACATATTATGAGAAAAAAATACCAGTTAATAACCCTACTGCATCAAATAGACTTCGAAAGAGTTTGAAAGGGAAGAATGACACTACAATAGGAAAAAAAACATCTGAATTCATCAGCCCGTTTTTTTTTCTTTTTCTGTTTTTGGCATATTACGGTAATTTCTTTTTAATATAACCTCAAGCTTCAGAAATATACATTTTCCACCAATAAAATATGATGTAGATTTTAATTAACGCTTTTTCATTCAAAAGGTAGAATTTTAATTAACATTACTTGTATTATTTTTTGAAAAAAATTCATGTTTATTAATTACTTTCTACAGCTATGCAAGTCTATATTAAGACAGCATTAAATGTTTACTTTAATCTGTACTTTCAATCTCAAGAATCAAAAGATTTTTAAAAATGTAATTTCAAATGTGTTGGAATTTAACACACACCAAGAAAGTAATTCCGTTAACTAAAATTTAATTAATGCAGTAATTTATTTAAATTAAATTTTAATACTAAGAAAAGAAAATAATAAAAGTATCAAAAATTTAAAACACTGTTTTTTTACTTTTAAAATCACTATATATAGATAAAAAATATTTGTTGATTTAAATCTATGATTTTTTTAAAAAAAATCATTTGATCTAAATCGTGATTTAAATCAAGCTGATTTAAATCAACGAACCCTGTATAAAACATAACTTTATAGGATGGATAAATATAGTAAATTATGGATAATAATACAAAATAAGAAACAAATGTATATATTTATGTAATTTGGTTTAATACCTAGTTACTTTTAATAGGTGTTTTTCAAATCCCCTAATGTAAATTTGAATATAAATGGGAGAAAAGATAAATAATAAATTTAGAAGTTGAGTAGATGTGTTTATGTAGATTGGCATAAATATAATATAGACCATACAAAAATACTAGTCAAGAAATATGAACAGCTTCTTACTCTTTATCCAATATACAATCTTTCTAAATAATCACATCAATATTTCAATCTATCCTTTTCTTACAACTTTCGGTTAAAATTACATTGTTAGAATGTGTCATAAAGAAATTTTTAATAATGCAAAAAATATTAACACCCAGAATTGTTATCTTAGTTTTACAACACAAATCCAGCAACAGATTTATGAATTTGTTATGTAATTTTTGTTGTGTTCTTTCATCTGGAATTATGAGCTATGGAAACTTAGACAGTAGTGTAAAGACACTTAAACCTATAAATGAATTTATAAATAACTATTTAAAATGTTTTCCTAAAATATTATTTTGGTTATTATCTACAATACTTTATATTTTATAATGAAATTGTTGATTGATTTCTAGATTAGAGAAAATGAGCCTATTTTAGAAGAAGAGCCTGATATAAGTTTAGGAGTTGCTGGAGCATTGAATCTTGCTACGAAAAAGGGTATTTTATGCTTATTGTTATTTATAATATATTTCATTAACGTTTCAATAAACTATTCTGAAATATTGATCAACACAATCTTCAATAAGGTTATTTCTATATATGCAGTCAGACCTATATTTAATGAAGTCGCTAAACCCCGGTAAAAAGTTCCTTATGTGGAAAATTCATTACTTGTATGTAGAAAATCATCATTTGAAATACTTAAACGACACAAGAAAAGTTTTCAATGCATAAACACTAGACATAATTAAAATTGCTATTGATACACCTTTATCTTGTAAATTATTATCTACTATAGAATTATTTCAAATTATTTTAACATTTCATCATATGAAGGTTTGGTGATTTCTTCCTTATTTTTGTCTTCATCTTCTTCGTCTTCCTCACAATTCATTGCTGTATTGTTTTTATTTTTCACACTGTCCAAAATGCCTGATTCAGTTAATGTTTTTGTGGTTGTAGCTTCAGAATCAATAAAAAGAAAATCATTAATCAGTACATCATCGTTCATTTCGTGGTTCTCTTTTTAAGTTCCTCTAAAGGAATATCATCCTCTCCCTCTACACTTTCCGAATTCTCCTCGGTGACTAAGAGTCCAGCTTTAGCTCTCAATTTCCATTTCAATCCAGCTCTCAATTTCACATTTTTTAATAATTCGGGATTGTCTATTTTTAAATGTTACGTAATTTTTAAAATTTTATGCTCAGGATTTCTGAGTATTTGACCCTGATTTTTTCTTTTTTTTTCTATTCTACATGGAATGAATTTAAGCTATCCAAGTTGGCTGTTTTTCCAATCTGCATTCCTAAAATTCTAATAAACTTAACCTAATATCTAATTAATTGGTATTCATGGAAATTAACCACTACAAGTTTTTATGGGTATTAGATTTTTATAAACAGATACAGAAAAATTTAATCTCCAAAATATTTTTAAGTTAATGTTATTTTTGCGTACTTACAGTCTCAGATTTCAATTTTCTCAACTATTTTTAATACTTTCTTTGTAGTTTGCAGACATTTTTATTTTAAGCATACAAATTTATTCAGCAAATAAATTCAAAGAAAACTTTTGATAAACTCTGGATATTAATCTTAATAAGAATTTAGCTCATTTTAAAATAACTGCAGATAAGCATCTGTCAGAAACTTGGGCCAATTGTGCATATCGGTGTAATGTTGGAAGCAATTTTGACAGTCAATAGGGAAATGGGAGAAATATTTTAGCTTAAAAAGACGCATTACGGATTAATATTTTAAGTTTGCTTGGCATCATGCTATTCCACAAGAATGAAGAAGTTGTTAAAATCAATGCATAAAGAAGAGAAGTTTTTTTAACGTAAAAGAAATTTAAATACTTCATATTTTTTAATTTTCTGAAACTTTTTTATTTCAAGATGCCATAAACTACACCCATAATTATTAAAAAACATAAAGATTAAAAAAATTTTTTTATTAATTTTAAACCACTAAGAACTAACATGCTTAGAACCACATCCAAAAGGTTAATATATCCTACTGTTATTTTTAATAGGGTACTTGGATAAAGAAGATACAAAACATTCCAGTGCTCCTCGATCTAGTACGCTTCAAGCACAGTCATATACTATAGAGGAGAAATTTTAGTGAGTATACTCTTATTTCATTTTCAAGGCTTTATTTCATGTTTAATCTAACTATTTCGTTAAATCATTAATAGACTTTTTTAAAGAATATCCTTTAATTATATATTTGCTTTTAATAGTGAAGATGACAAGTTTGGTAAACGTGACAGATATACAGGTCCTATTCAAGATTTTAAAGAAAAAAATAATTACAAGCCAGATGTAAAATTAGAATATATTGATGACAGTGGACGTTTGCTAACTGCAAAAGAAGCATTTCGTTATCTTTCTCATAAATTCCATGGGAAAGGACCTGGCAAGAACAAAGTGGATAAAAGAATGAAAAAGTTGGATCAAGATAACGTAAGAAAAAATTACATTAACTAAAAAATAAATTTTAGCTGAGTCCTTTTTGATATTTTCAAATCTACTGAAAGATATACTTAAATGTACAAGCATATAAAATAGTAATGGGATTCTTTTCTTTTTTAAAAAAATAAATAAGTGTTTTTTTTTTTATATTACAATGAAGGGTGTTGTTTCATCATCCATTATATGTATATCTGATTTATTGTACTCATTCAGTAGACTTCTAATGGAAGTATGTGAGCGTTTTAAGTTTTACTGCCTTTACAAGTTGCTATAGAAATAATAATTGCACAAGGTACTGTAAAAGTAACAGGCTGGTATAAATTGTCAATTAGAAGACTCTAATTTTCATTGGAAAACAAAGCCCCTTTAATGTGCTCTAGTTTAATATTACAGATTTTAAAAAAAGGAGCAAAATTTATTTACTGGTGAAAAAAAACTTCTTTTTCTAAGAAATATCAATTAAAATCTCAAATGTTAGAATTAACTTTGCCTCATTTTTGTTATCTTGCATAGTAAGTGTTGTTTCGTCAAATTAGACTTTTTTCTTTTGTAATATATGTATTTACATACACAAAATTTTAATTTTGTGTTCAGAAAGTAAATTAGGTTCATTGTTTTAACCACAATAGAATTGCATTAAAATTATTCTTTTCTTATCTTAAATTTTCATTCAGAGTAATTCTTAATTGAATTGTTTTCAGAAACACAAAAAATATATTTTTTGTTACATATTTTTTGCACTCTTATTTTAGTTATTCATGTATACAAAAGCAAGACAGTTGAAAATTATATATCCTTCCTTAATGTCTTGTTTTTATTTCCTTGAATTTCAATCTTACCAAATTATTTTATGGTGAATCATTTAAGATAAAAGAACTGCTCAATTGACAGTCTTGCAAGCTACTTTTGTTACAATTAAATCACTTATTAGCATTTCCAGGCTTTTCATGAAATTTTCAATCACAAAGAATGTATTTTTCTCAAAAATAATAAAATTCAATTGCTATGTGATGAAAAGAGCATATATGATTTTTGATGTTAAAATTTAATGACTAAATAAGGTGTCATATTTTGTTTCAGAGATTAAAACAAATGAGTTCAACAGATACTCCCTTAAACACTGTTAAGTTGCTCCAACAGAAACAAAAAGAAACACAATCTCCATATATTGTACTCAGTGGTGGAAACAAAACACTAACCCAGTAAGTATGATAAGCATTTTCTAAATCAAATTAACATTGTTATGAAAAGTATATACGTTTTATTAAAAATATGCTGGAATTATTAAAATAACAAAATGCTGTATTCTTCTTAAGAATGTGAATACTTAATTTCATAAAACTGATTTCAACCCATGTTTAATAATATAAGTGTCACTTTTAAAAATCTTGGAAGATTCTTAATTACTCTTAAATTAATTAACTTTATTCAACAAAAAAAATACTGTTTACTTTTCTGCAAGATCCACATACATCATTCACAAAATTTAGTTTTTGTTGCTACCAAAGACTACCTCACATACAATTCCACCTGCCAGATAATATGGAACAATTGTGGTATAAAGAGAAATAACTAAATTAATAATTTGTTACTAAAAAATTATACTTAAATATTAAATTATAATACAGTTTCAATATTAAATTATAATACAGATCCTAACTTGTGTTAATATGACTGTGATATGAATCTGTACCTCTTACATTAATTTAAATTTGTTTCTAATACCTATAAAATTAATAAATTCCATTTAATAAATATTCTACTAGAATACAAATAATTGTACGGATCTTTTAATTAGATATTTCTAAATTTTCATGGCAAGCTATTTAGTCGTTACTTAAAATTAAGACTTAAATGCAAAAAAAAAAATATCAGATTTTTTTAAACATAAATAGAAATTTACGAACATAAAATATTGTCGTTCCACAGTTATATAATAAAGGCGCACACATGGATACACTTGAGATATAATTTAAAATTTATTTTAAAAAATAAAGTATATAGGTTTAAGCAACAAAATTAAAATATAAAAGCTGTTATTTCCAATATATATTTTTTAAGGGAAAAAATTTTTTTCTTTCACTGCTTGCTAAACAAAAATAAGTTGAATATATAGAAGTATTAAAAAAATATGTAATGCTTTTGGAATAAAATCATCCTGTTACCATGGAGCCTTACAAGTTTGCAGATACTTTAGGATTGTATGCATAAATAATTTTATTCTGCCCCATTCTTTATCCTTCTTATGTTCCTTGTTAATATCTAATCTTCAAATTATGGATTGTGTGAATATCATTTATTTTCACAAGGTGTTTACTGTTTTTTCTTTTTTTAAACCCAACTTTGTGGTGAACTATGCTGACATTCAATTTTGGATTTGAAATTAAGAATAATTATGTTTAAAAATGCTATAAAGTCTGAAACTGTAATCAATTTAAACAGTTAATGTATAATTTAGTAATTCTGCCTGAGTGATGTTTTTTAACTACGAAAACCTGGTTTCTTTCTTGTGTAAGAAACTATTTATTACTATTGCTACTTAATGGAAAAGAGAAGCAAAGCAGAAAAATGTTTGTACAAATTTGTCCTAAGTGCCTGTCTGTTAAAAATGTAAAATCTTTTCCCGACCATAGGTTCAGTACAATTATGTGTACTAAATTACTGTTAAGATAATGTTTGAGTGTCATTAAAATAAATTACTCTAATTAGTAATATTAGGTGTGAAACAGGGCCTAACTAAAATGGAATTTTTTTTTTTTATAAATGATCCTAAAATATTATTAATTTTCCAAGAGACATTTATACTGCTGTTTATTTTGATCGATCTCATCAAAATAGAGATAGAAAAATGAACCTAAAATAGAGCTTTAGAAAGTATTTTTTTATTACCAACTTTTGGTTGTGGCTATTATAATAACTTACAAGTGTGTGTTTGAAGAAACAAGCAAATATTTTTATAACCTTCATAAATCTCTTCTGGAAAACTTGTTTTTTTACAACCCTGATCTTTCAGTCCTTTGGTACTATATAGAAATAATTTCTATTTGAAAATGTTTACCCAAACTAGTAAGAAGAAGTAGATTATATTTATTTTTGTATAATTCCATATACTAATGAGGTTAAATTTGTTTTTCAGAACGATGATATCAAAGACAAAATCCTGAAAAGTGTATGTTTTTCACCAGCAAAATACTATATTATGAATCTGTATATAAAACAATTGCCTAAGTTAGTTGTTCAATTTTAATGTGTTGTTTCCATCTTTTTAATTACTTTTTGCACAAAATACTGATACAATTTTAATTAAGTCATGATTAGGACTGGGAGATATATCACGAATTATCGATTTAATGCATACATCGGCATTTTTTTCTTGCGAGCATCATAAATCTGATTTAAGTGGCTGATATACGAAGACGTTCATGATTTAACATATGAGGATCTTTGCCTACGTTAATGCTGTTACCAGGCCGACGAAAACTGTTTTGATTCCATCTAGCTGCAAGGATGTTGATTTCGTCTTGCTACGAAAACGATGTTTTTTTCATGATGTTGAATAGCAAAGAGACAATTGGATTAGAAATCACGGTTTCATGCATGGATCGGCAAAGAAATGTCGAAAGCAGTACATAGTTTCTTTATGCATCTTTTTCCCCACGGGATTTTACACTTCTTGGAAATTATTTTCAGTGGGAACGACATTATTTTGTGGTTGCTCTGCATTTTATTATGTCAGGATTTAAGGTTTCTTGTAAATTAGTTTCAGGTAGGACTTGATCATTGTGCATTATTGCGTCACTTTTTTTTTCGTCAGTCCAGATATAACGTTTCTTCTCAATAAATTTCAGTAGGCCTACTATAATTTAAAATCGCTGTTATTTTGATTTGATTTTCCATTCTGAATGCAATCTATTAATGAATGGAAATTAATAAAAAAGGATTCATTGTTCTGTTTTTTTTTTTCATATTAAACAATACAATTTAAGAATGGTATTTTGTATTTATGTAATTAATACTTTGTTATAAAAAGTTTTTTTTGTAAATTCATTTAATGCACATAAGTATAATAATTTGATGATTATTTTTAAACCAATAAATCTTCAGTTTTAAATTATAAAAAATTAAGACAAAGTCCACATTTATTTTGAATTTTTTTTATTTTTATCTTCTTTTTTTTTTAACTCAACGCTTTATTTTTATTCAAGTTTTTTAAGCCATTTTCTCTAAATATTTTAAGATTTTTCTCAATCTGTATAAGTTATTTGTTCTTTTAATCAATATTTTAAATTCTTTAAACCGTTAGTTTTTATTTTTGAGAAAATGAAAACAAAATTTGTTTTATGCATTTACTTTAAGAAAAGAAAAAAACTTGGCAATTAGTTAAAATGACTACATTTTTTTTTAATGAAATAAAAGTTAAGCAATATTTTGGCACTTTAAAACCAGTTTTTTTTTTATAATTTAACAATAGTGCTATTGATTTTAGTATATTTTTTCAATTTTTATTAAAATTCTTTCAATATGTGTTCATTTGATAATTTGTTCAATAATCAGTATGATTTTTAAACCAATAAGTCTTATGTCTATTTTATTTTTAAAAAATAGGTATATGTAAACAAATAAAATAATAATAAATAATACAAAACTTACATTTAATTTTACGTTTATTATTTACAAAATTTGACCATTAATCAATATTACTTAATTATTTTAAATAATAGAATAACAATGTTTCGAAAGCAAGTTTTTTTTCTTCCAACAAATGATTAAAAATTGTTTTGCTTAAATGTACAATAACTTTTGTTTATTTTTTACAATTATTTTCCTTCATTTTATTTTTAATACTGTGTGGGTAAAATATTTTGCTAGAATTTTATTATTTTTTTTAAACTAATAAATCTTGAATTGTTTTTAATTTAAAAAAAAAAAATTAAAACAAAGCTTGTACTTGTTTTTACTTTGAGACATTGGTCTAAATCAATCTTTATTAATATAATTGAAAAATTAAGCATGATAATGTTACAGAAGCATATTTTTTATTTATTTTTTGATTGATTTAAGATTTTTAATTGTGTAATTTGACTCGAAAGAAATAATTTTCAAACATGTTATATTGCGATACATCCCTAAGTCTAATAGATGATATATCACAGTATAAAATTTTTTACATCACCCAGTCCTAGTCATGATTTAATGTTGATAGTGTGAATATGGAATTATATATATTAGGTGATAGTTAAAAATGAGAAAATTGAAATTTTTTTCAACCTGTAGGGACCATGATTAAGTTGGTTTAATGTTTTTACTCTTGTGGATAAAAACTTAATCTCCTTTACATTAAAACCGATAAGATATTTTTACACATATCATTTCCAATTTAAAGAGCTATATATATAATTTTCAAAATTCCCATGCATTTAGAATTTTTGACTTCAAACTTTCTTAAAAGATTATTTATGAAGAAAACTTGTAAAATGACAAAAATATATACATAAGAACAACACAATAATAGTTGAACAGTTTATTAATATCTATTTATATAATTGTTGACATTAAATTTTATGACAAAGACTGAAACTTGATTTGTCAAAATAATCTCAAAGTTATATAAAGTGAATAAATAAACTGATATTGGTAGTTGGACTAATGGATTCACTGCCAAGTTAACTTCAGGATAATATCCTTCTTACCATCCAGCATTACCAGAAAGGTAATTGTCAAAATATTCGAAAAGTCATATTGTGAACTTTTATATAATGGATTTTTTTTTTTTTATGGTTTTNTTTATATAATGGATTTTTTTTTTTTTTTATGGTTTTTTTTTTTTTTTCATTTACTAATTAAAGCAAAGTATGAGGTAAAATTTATTAATAGTATTTAATATTTAAAAAAAATTTAATAGGATATTTCTAACTAAAATAGTTAAAATTATTAATTAGTTACTACAAACCAATCACTAAATAAAATCAGTTTTTTTTTTAAGTTAAAATTCAACATTTTAAGGAATTTTAAAAACAAGAAACAATTCTTCAATAAGATATCTAATAAAATCCAAATTGGATAAAAAAACATTGCTTGAAAAAATTATTTTAAGTTACTCTGGGTTGAACATGCGTTAGCACAGAAATAAATTATAACAATTGAAATTTGCTTATTACCAGCAAATTAGTTTACTTACATCATCTTTTTTTTTTAAATTTTTTATTCCATTTATAATATAAATTGTATACATCTTTCCTTTACTTCATTATCAGCGAAATCGGACTTCAAAAAATTGCACCATCAAGAATATATTAATGATCATGTCAAAAAAATATATTTTAGATTTAAATAATTTTTAAAACAAAATTACAGATAATTTGAGTAATTTTTTTAAAAAAGTATTTTAATTCATGCCAACCATGTTAGTCAGTTTTTATAAAAGTATTTCAAGTTTTATTAAAAGAGTTAAAATTATTCTTTTTCTTTATAAAGTTTATATTTTTTTATTTTAACTTCAATTATCTTAACAAAGAAAGGCAATTTTTTTTTATTTAAATTAAAGACTTAAATTGCTGAGTTTGACTTGAATTGTTAAGGACTGTGTAGGATTTAAAAAATTCTACAGTAGTGTAACTTCTTAATATGATATACAGGTTGAGTCATTTATTCTTTAAAATGAAAGTACTTTACGAATGTTCCTAAATTACATTCATGAAGAAAAATAAAAGATAAACATTATCTTTATTTCTCAGATCTTGGTTTCAATAAATAAGTTATGGGCATTTTTAAAATATAAATGATATTTACCAGAGCAAGAAAAATAGTCATAAAAGTTATATAGCAGTGTTTCCATAATTAGTTTCCAACAATAGATATTTTTTTAAATATAAGTCATCTTTCTTATAGTTTTCATGATAACTTCAGAGAAATTAAATGACATACATAAATAACACACTTTGGTATCTAAAGAATATAAGATTTAGCTGAAGCAGTAATTTAAAAGCAAGTAATTATATACATCTTAAAACTTATCTTTACAAATAAATAAATAGAATATACAAGAAGCATAACATGTAAATAAATTATCACAGGTCAGAAATACACAGTTTCAAAATAACACAATCTACCTAAAAGCATATAAAATTTAAAAAATACTCAAACAAGAAATTTGTGAAAAGTATATTCACTTTTTTTAAGTTTCAACATAGATGTTGTATGCAATTTGACAAATGCTGAAAACTTATGAACAGCAGTTTTTAAATAAAATAACTTTAAGCATAGTCCATTTTAAATAAAATTGCTATTGTAAACAACAGAGTACATTTTTAACTAGCTTATTACTTCGCAATTAAAAAAGCAAAAAAAAAATATTCAAAAACATTTCAATTGTAATTTTAAATGGGTGAAATTTTCAAAACAAACAAAATTGATTAGGTTCAAATAATCTTGTTTTAAAGTATGTAAATAATAATAATTTAAATCAAGGAATCATGACTTAATTTTTCAACAGCTTAATATATTTTAGCACAGTACTTAAAGCAAAGAATGTTTCGAGACTGGCTTTTGTTTTATTTTTTACTTACTAAAGCCTACTTACATCTAAGCAAATAACTACAAACATTTGCTGCTCAGATTAATAATGCCATCAAATTCAGTTATATAAAGGTCAGTGTTCGGTCAACTTACATAATTTGAAATAGAGTTGATATGATCTGTATGATCCTTTTCCAAAATAAGTTTGATTTCAGTTGAACAACATCTACCCTAAACAATATTCAAGCTTTCAAAAAGACTAATGCTTAAAGGGAGAAACTTTTTATCCGAGTTAAATATTAAAATTTAGATGAATAACTGTTAAAATTCCAAAGAAAACTAATTTAGTTCAAAACAGAAGATAATCATATTTTAAATAAAAAATGTTACATGCAACTTTGGTATTATAAGGTTATGCATAAATTGAATGTTCATGAACAAACAACTGTTTTATGTTAAAAATTATGTCAACTGTTTCTTGCTCACTCATCTGTTAACTTCTAAGGGTACAAAATTTCACAGCATGCTGAGGAGAGAAAAATTGCAACTTATACTTTTTACTCTAGTATGTTGTTGTTTCTAATCCCAGTTGGGATAGCGGAGCTATACCAGATCTATGAAGCCGCGAATCTTCAAAAAATCGAGGAAAAGGAGAGGTCTCTCAAGAACCTCTTCGATGGCGAAATTTACTCTAGTATAATGTAAGTTGATAGCTAAAAATATTAAAATGAAATAAATTCTTTCAGCAAGTTATTTAGAATTTGGTATTATTCCCCTTCTTGGAATTTCATACTTTAGTATGAAATTCCAAGACAACTACGATCTTAACACCTTAAATAATTTTAACCTTCTTTACATTTCAATAAATCTTAAGTGATGGTACAAATTTATGAGACAAGAATGTATGAATAACAAAAGAACTTAGCAGTTATAATATTAGTACAATAAAAATTGATTTTCAAAATACGCTTATAATGAGAAAATTAAACGTTATATAATAGAATTAAGTATACGAAAATTGCAAACTAATGCAATAAAATATAAAAGCCATTTGTTATGCTAACTCTACCAGGAGACATAAATAAACTGATAGAAGTAAAATTAGTTTACCTATTTACAACAACAATAATTGCTCATTCCATTTCATAAATATTGAAGTAGGCAAGGGAAAAATGCATTAATGAGCAATACAAAGAAAGAACAACAAAGGCATTTATTAGTGTTCAGCAAATAAGAAATACTTGTTTTTAAATTAAATTATACGCAAAGAATTATTGTACAGTTCACTCAAGGTTTCAATTTAAAATTTTATCAATGGTACTAAAAATAAAAGATCAGAATGATTTTTAAAAAATACACATGAAAAAGTGACTAGCTATACCTCTACATATTGCAAAAACTTAATTTAAATTATTTCATTAAAATATAATTAACTTATCATAATACTATGATGTCATTATTATCGAAACTTATTGGCTCCAGAGCCATCAAACACTTAGAACTGTAATCGTTTGCATGTAAGTAAACATTTAAGGTACACTCGGTACAATGTGCAATAAAGCGAACAAAAGGTCTAACATCACCTTCATTAGCCAGTTGTAAAGTGCGAAAGTAATAATTCCGCTCATTGTTCCTGATAATAACAGGAGGATAGCCATATCTCATTAGAATCATGTTCATAATCAAACGTGCTGTACGTCCATTTCCATCTACGAAAGGATGAATGTATACCAATTTATAATGAGCTAAAGCAGCTTGTTTAACTGGATGTAATTGCAAGAACTCATAAGATTGAAGCCATTCTACAAACTCTTGCATTAAATATGCAAGCTCTGATGCACGAGGAGGTGTATGCTCAGCAACAAATACTTGAGATTGACGAAACGAACCACCAATTAAAGGCTTGACATGACCTAAAACCAATTTATGAACTTCTAATATGTCAAAAACAGTAATTACATCTTTAGTGACTAATTGTTTATCAATATATCGTAGAGCTGATTCAACACCAACAACTTCCATGTGTTCAGTTAGACTTTTACCATTAACCGGCAGACCTGTTTCAATAACCATTCTTGTATCTTCTAAGGACATTGTATTTCCTTCAATTGCAACAGTGTGATAAATATGCTGGAAATAGAGCTCCTTTTTAAGTCGATTTAAAGATGGATTGTTGTGGTTCAGTTTGATTAACTCAATATGTTTTTTGTCTATTCTTTTAAGTTCTTTCTCATCTAATTCGTTAACTAATGGTGAAGTTCGCTTTCTATTCACGAGTGCACGAGAATGTTCAGGACTCACTGTTAGGGCTCTGAAAAACATCTGGTCAGCTTTAATAAAATCTTTTTCTCTTTCTTCAACAAATTCTCCATAATGGTTGAGTACATCCGGATGAAGAGGTTGTAAAGCTAAAGCATGATGGAACAATTTTTGTGCTTTCTCAAATTTATTAGATTGCTTCATTTTCAAAGCCATTTGAACAGCAGACAAAGCTTCATTCTCTGAAATAAAAAAGTTTTATTTAGATACTATTATTTAAAAATATACTAACAACATATCAGTTTCAGTACAATAGCTTGCAATCATTAACTAGGTATGAATTTTTTAATCATAAATTAAAAATATATTACAAGTAGTATTTATATTATTTTGGGAATATAAAATAACATAAATACCATCTATATATAAATTATTATGTTACATAAATTTCAATATAAAACTAAAATAACTATTTTTTTCTTAAAAAATGAATGTGAAAAGCTATTAACTTCTAAGTACTACTACATTAAAATTTATTAATTTAAATTGAATCTATTTTTATGAAGCCAGGATAGCTTAGTTAGAAGGGTCCTAGAGGTGAGTTCGATCCCTGCCGGCCAGAGGTGAATGGTGTACGTTAAATCTGTCGGGTCACAGTCCTCCATGTTCCCATAATAAATCATATCTCTGGGGGTACTAAATTGGAAATTGAATGTTCTCTGGTTCAGATTAGAATCTGTGAATGGGTCCGCTCCCGCTCTGTACACAGGCTGCGACGTGTGTATGGCTAAAGTCGTATTCTCAGCCATAGATGGGGCTACTGAAAATAGGAAACGCACTCTCTGCTTCAAATTCTCATAGCTTCACCAAGCAGGGTTGCTGGTATTGAAAGTGACATTATCAACAACACTATTTTTATAATACGCAATGAACATTGGCATAAGTCATTTTTAGTTTTTCTAGTTTGTCCAGTTTCTTCTTTCAGAGCATAAGACATCCCATTAATGGATTCAATCTTGTCCTTGAAAAAACAATTTTCTTCAAATTAAATTCCAAGACTGATTTTTTAGTTTTGTTTAATACTACAATATTTTGAAGACTTCATAAGAAATTTTATGAATCAGCAGTATAGTTAAACCTAAAAGCCCCCAAGTAATGCATACGTAAAGAGATAATTATTTGTCATATAACAGAAATAATTGAAAAATACATCATCATTTAGTAACAAAACACAAGTTATATTTTATTTGAATATAGGAAAATATATACAAATAATCAACACGTTGTCATTTTTAAGAACATTTTTGGAAATGACCCTACATAAAGAGATATTCTCCTCCCTCCCTCATGTAGTTATTTTCCTTATGACAATTTTTCTTGCTTTTGGCATATTTTACAAAATTAATACTTTAATATCGATCGAATTCATATTTTGGATATATTTCTGTATCGTGATCTGGTGCACCAACTACAATCGTCAAATGAATTTTAAATGTGCAATTTTTTTATTTAAAAAAAATTAAAGATTCGCTCAAGGGTGGTTACGAGTTTTACTTTTTAAGTTGTTCCCTTTCTATATTTTTTAAATATAATTTTCTTTTCAAGGGTTGTTGACAGAAATCGTCAAGGACTGACGATTACTCTGCCATAGATCACAATATGGAAATTTTTCTCATAAGTTTTAATACGTCAAAATTATTAATCTTAGACTTACAATATTGTGTGAGCAGATATATAAATATATCTGCTTTCAAGCAAAAATTTTATATAAATGTTTTTATGGTATACATACCAAAAAGTTCTTTTTCCATGGAATTGGACAGAATATCAAGAGCTATAGTCAATAGCCAAAAAAATTTGTGACAAATGTCAGACCTTATAAACATTGCCTTGGGAACAGAGGCGTTTTTTTTCCCTTTTCTTTTAATAATTTAGGGAAATGTAACAGACTCTTTCAATATTGATACATATTTACACAAACTGATATCGTTAATAAAACTATCCAGTTCTTGTACTCAGACTTAGAATAAAATCTATAGAAGTTTACCAGGAGGTAACTGTGATACATTTTTTAACTTACCCGTTTCGTGGTGCATAAATATATTATATATACAGTGAACTCTCGCTACTACGATATCCGATACAACAATAACTCCCTCTATTACGATAATGTTCCGTGGTCCCGCCAAACTTGCATATGGATTAATGTTATCTTCCTCTCAATATAACGATATTCTCTGAAGCAGTAAACCTCTGTAAAACGATTTTTTTTTTCAAATTTCAACATTATTTTCTTTTTTTTTTTATTGGTTTTCAAATAATGTAAAATGCCTTTTTGTCATCTTTTACCATTTTTTTCAACTTTTCTGATAAAAGGGTCACTGCTGGTTATGATCTTTCACTCCACTGTTATTTCTTTTCACATCAGAGAATGGCTTTTGTATTCAAATTTCATTCCCCCACTGTTGAGGTACTTAGACCACCCTAAGAGCTTCATGTTTTAGAATTGCCTCCCTCAGTTCTTAAGAAATCACCATTGTAACATCATGAGTCATAAATGACCACACACATCACAGTAATACCTGCTACCCTGAGAAGGTACTGTTTCTGTAGAAGGTGGGTGGAGCACGTTTATTGAAATTGAGGAGGAGAAAAAAATGTATACTGACCATTGGTCATCATTCATCACTTAATCCCTGATTTAAACTACACCTGGTGTTTTCATGAGCTAGCGCAAATTCTACGATCAGAGCTTTTCGCATTTAGTGCTGCTAACATTTTCAACTTGGGGAGTCTTCTGTGTATTGGATATTTTTTACTAGTGTAATTTAGCATAAGATGGCAGGGAGAGAGCAACTTTCATTTCAAGATAAACTTAACGTTATTAAAGATATTGATGATGGAATGAAACAGGTTGATGCAGCTAGAAAATACGGATTATCTCAATCTACAGTTGCAACGTTTCTAAAGAAAGGAAAACAGATCGAAAATACTGTAAGTTCAAATTTAATTAATCCAAAGCGTAAACGACTAAAAGTCGCATGGTTTCAAGAGATGAGAGCAACAAATATCCCGATAAATGGGCCCTTGTTATGCAAACAAGCACGTAAATTCGCAGTAATGCTAGGGAACGAAACTTTTAAAGCTAGTAATGGTTGGCTAATGCGTTTTCGGGATCGACATGGAATAACTTTCCAGGAAGTTCACGGAGAGAAAAAATCTGCTCCGATTAACGAAGCAAATGAATGGAAGCAAGAGAAGATGACAGATATTCTTCAAAAGTATAAACCAGAGAACGTTTATAACGCAGATGAAGCTGGGCTGTTTTTTCAACTCCTTCCCGATCGAACATTGGCATTTAAGGGTGAAAAAAAATCAAAAGCAGAGATTGACTGTTCTTCTGTGTGCCAATAGCACAGGGACATACAAAATGCAACCTCTTGTTATCGGCAAATCATTAAAGCCGAGGTGTTTCAAGAATGTGAAAAGTCTTCCCGTGTAATATAAAGCCAATAAAAAAGCTTGGATGACTTCTAAGTTTTTTTCTGAATGGTTGTTTATGTTAGATAAAGAAATGAAAAGGAGGAAGAAAAAAATTGCTTTATTAATTGATAACTGCACCGCTCACACCTCAATTCCAAAACTACACAGCGTCGAAATTGTTTATTTCCCGGCCAACTGCACTTCGATTTTGCAGCCACTCGACATGGGCATAATCAAGTGTTTCAAAGGATACTACAGGAAGCGTTTGGTTGAATCGATACTTGTCAACATCGAAAATAAAGTAGAAGATCCTTTTAAAACTGTGAATGTCAAGGAAGCATGTGATATTATTGCTGGTAGTTGGTGGGAGGTAACAGAAAAAGCTATTCAAAATTGTTGGGAAAAGGCCGGTTTGTGAGTCTTGGAAGATGAAATTGTTTCTAATAGTGAAGAAAATTCCACAGACAGTGATCTTTCAGATAATCAAGAATTTGTTTTGAATCTTCAAAAATCTTTATCCCAACTTGAGGAAAAAATGGGTAAAACATATGGTGTTAACGTGGAGGACTATTTAACTGCCGATGACGATCTCACAATTTTCGCAGGAGTTAGTGATGAAGAGATTCTCTCTGAAATTACGGATGAAATGGAAAATAATGATGAGGAAGAAGATGTTGATGATGACCCATGTGTATCACAGTCCGTATTGTCACCCCATGAAGCTCTTCAATCCGTAAAATCACTAAAGACATTTTTCTCAAGTCTTCCATTCACAAATGAAAATCATTTTCGGGCATTGGACTCTATGCATACTTTGTTGGTTGGCTTAACAGTCAGAAAAATTAATAAACAAACAAAAATATCAGATTTTTTTCAATAAAAATGTTTTTTTAAGGTAAGTTTACAATCTTATGTTCTGTATTTATATCCATTTTTTTTAATGCTTAACCGTAACAAATTCGTTCGCAAATTTATTTTTTCGATAATATATAAATATATTTATAGTTAATGAATATATAACATTAAATTTCAAAAAATCTTATTGCGTCCCAGAATTATGTGGGCCCTCGATATAACAATATATCCCTCTACAACAATATTCTTATTTGGTCCGCAAAATATTGTTGTAGCGAGGTTTTACTGTATATATATTTCTTTTTTTTAGCGTCCAGTTTTGGCCAAAACTTGGCAACCAATTTAGCACAGCTATCAATATGGAAAATTTTTTATACTACAGATATTACCTAATGTTTTCATATGTATTTGAAAGTTTGGTTGGGATATTTTATTAAATATTACAAAAAAGTCTATACATTACATACCAGTTCCTTTTGCTTGATTTCTTTGACTACGTCGTATAACGGGAACTTTGTTGATTTGAATTAAATCTTCGGTAACGGCTATGTCAGATTCATCGGGAAGAAATAAAGTTGAATCATCTCTTTTTCGAGAAGAAGAAAAAATATTATTTCCATTGTATGGTGCTGGATCACTAGAATCTACAGGATATTGATTTTCATATAATCTCAATTCTAGATTAGAGGTATAAACATATGAATCGTCATCTTCTTCCAATAATTTATGCTTGTAAGAGAATTTATCCTGCTGATCTTTATGTTCGTAGTATTTGTAAAATGTTGGATGCCAATAGGAGAGGCTTACTATGATGAATAAAGCTGTAAACGCTAATATGAAAGATATGCTAAACACGCATAATGTTGTTTTACCACATCTATGAGAATACAGATTAAAAAATAAGCCCTGTGATAGTCCTGCATATTCTACAACTTTTCTAGTAATATACGCCATAATACCATTCATCTTAAATCTAAAATTGAACCTGATCTAACTTTTAAGAGGATTTTAGGAAAATATAAAAATTTTAGGAATTCTTCAGCTAAAAACTAATTTCCGTGTCAAGAAGTGCATGTCGCACATTTTTTGACAACATAAACAGAGCACTTCATACTTGTTCTAGAAATGAATTGCCTTCAGAATCAGCGGAAACGTCTAAACTTTTTACACCTTTTTCTCAGTTGTGCATGTAAAATATACCACTTGTTTCATACGGTATTTTTAAAAGTTGATAAAGATTCATCATTACGAACGCTTAACCATGACGTCATTTTCCCTGAAAAAAATGTGTAGTTAGCGCATGCGCAAATTAGTCAATGTTTCGCAAATTGAAACGCGTTCAACTACCTATTTTTGCTTATTTGTGATTCATATGAATTACTTTAGGATTATTTTCGCTGCAAAATTCAACCTGATTGACGCGCCTGCGAGTGTTTCTAAACTACAGTGCTATTCGCGATTGCAACGCTCGCATACGCCATCTGGGGAGAAGACCGGTCCGAATCCTTCCCTCTCCTCCTCTTTTCAGTTGTATAGAAATGTACTACGATATTTTTCCTTTTCTTAACATTTTTTTTTCGAATGGCAGGCACTGAACTTTATTCGTTTCACCCCAGAAGATGCTGGAGGTGTTACTCATTTCGCGTTATCCAGTGGGCACCTGTGAACCAAAGTCACGGAGGCGAGTAACATTGCCCACGCGACACTGCCGCAAACCCGTTCACAGGGTGGGCCACATTCACACATCGCACACAACAGAGGACAACACAAGAGAGAGAAACATCCATGCCCAGAGCGGGATTCGAACCCGCTGCCATTGGCTTCGCAGTCAGGAGCGTTAACCGATCGGCCACCTGGCCGGCCCTTTTCTTAATATTTTTCGTATTTAATTGCTAAAAGCATTTTTTTTTTAAATTTCCATCCTTTCAGAACAATGCTTAATGTAGTTTTCAGTTCCATATAGCTTCCTAACTTAAAATATTTTAATCTGATTGAAAATCAAGACAGAAACGAACATACTTCCTTCTCCTATGTCTCTCCACACTCTAATGGTGAAAGTATGTGAAGTGTTGCCATAGGTAGAGTGTTCTGCTCTACTCCACCTGCAGCTCATTTCGATCACCAATTATCAGTAAACGTAGTCACCACACATTCGATTGTCGTTGTATCGATAGTCGTGAAAATGTATTTAAACAATCAGGTTCTTATAGATGGTGTTTTCTACACTAGGGTACACTACCAGCTGTTTACCGCCTATATACTTCCGGATTATTGTTCCGGTGAATTTTGGAACGTTATCATTGTGTTTCGACTTTGCCAACCTTCATCTATCAAAAGGTACCTCGTGATTGAATCAAGTTAGCATATCTTATATACCAGTGAATTGATGTTTAATAATCGTAGTGGTAGATACGCCACAATACTTACCCGCCAGAATTTTATCAGGGATAGAATTCGATGAATGGATACCAGTAGTTGCTGTATATTTGTGAAAGACCGGGATAGCTGGATTAAGGTCACCGGGTTTTTGAGTGCTGAATGAGAGAGGTGTATTAACTTCACGGTCGTAGTCGCTCCTGTGTTGCCTTTAGCAGTCGAGTGTATGCAGGCTGACGTTGTGTATGATCGTGACGAGACTGAGCAGTAACAGCGTGAGGAGGGGAGTAATGTCGCATGTCGGGAGTCAACAGAACGCGTCAGTTATTGCCGAGATATGCGGTAGTTCATATATAACCCAGGCATGCAGGTGTTGCTTATTATTTGTTGAATAAATATCTGTTTTCGTAATCCCAATGCATCTTTAATTTGTGAGTACCAATCTTATCTCTACACTCTCTTGAGTAGTATTTCTTGTATACTTTTATTTTTTTGCCTGATTTATTATTTGCGTTTAAAAAAAGAGTCGTTATAAGAATTGTAATTTGTAGACCTGTCAGTTCAAGAACTGTCATTCGGCCTTGAATGTGAGGGAGCCTTCTCACCGAATTCGGTTGCCGGAGCTCCAATCACCGTTATGAAAAAGGAAATCTGATTGGTGAGTTTTGTGCAAGGGAATACATTTCATTAAATAGGTTCTGATACTTCTTTGCCGGTGCCCGAAGGAAAGGCAACTGCATTAGATGGTCCTTTAGAGGAACTGCTGTACATCCATGAAAAGCATTTACGTGCGATCCCATATGCGAATCAATTCCGAGTTTTACCATATCCTACAAAAAGCAACACTGTCTCTGAAATTCAAAAATTCATATGAAATTTGCTACTAAGAACCTAATTTGCCTGTTTTTCAAGAAACAAATTCACCCCTTATCTGGTTCGCAATCACTTGCGAAAAAATCGTAGGTGACTAGAATAAGTAATCAGGTTCTCAGTTCAATCTCCGGATTCACAAATATATATGCTCGTAAAATCTGTGAAATCGAATGTCCTGTGGTCTGTCGCAGAGCAGTACCACGGATACAGGGATCTGGAGAAACTTTTCTTCCCCTTCAGATCTGTGTTTAAATCGAGGAAGTGGCCTCATAAAATTGTGATGGCATGTCTTCGGCTCACCCTCAGGGATGCTTCCTAGACCATCGCCAATAGCCCATTGGGCAGCTCTAGTGTCACATAAATAAAGTTTCTTCTTACCTACCGAGATCATATGGGCGATTTTTATAGTTTTTTACACACTGAATCCAATGAGCCTAATCCAGTGAGACACCCTGAGAAAGTTTAAAAGTTATGGTAGGATTTATGAGGGTTTTCTATAAAAGTACAACGTATCTGTACCTATTTACCTATGTAACATTACCATCGAAACAACTGAGGTGACCTAGTTTCCCATGTATTTATTATACGACTTACCGGAAGCTAAACACAAACCACGTCGAATGGAAAGTAGAAGCCAGGATTTTGTTAATTTTTGAGCTATCGATACTGTATGGATGGAAAACCATGTAAAGCTCGTTTAAACGAGCTTTATAGGGTTTTCGAATTCGCTAGGTGTTAAAACTTGTCGTAAGATTTTCTGCTTATACTACTTACAGCTTCCGATATAATTATAAGGTTAAGCTTCAAAAAAGCACTCCCCCCAATACTATACTATACTTTTAGTGTTTCCAATATATAGCTTTCCTTCAATATTTTCAGAAAAAAATTTATGAACAACTTCTTTCTAATGAACTTTAACTTAACAGCAATATAACATACAAGAAAATCAACACCAACAGTGCTATTATTAATAATAAAATTAATGCATTTATAAAAGACTCAAAATTAAACCAAATAATATTAAAAACTTTCCTTTTCTAGTTCTATACAAAATTTCATAAAACCCCAACCAAATTCAGGTTTATTACTAGTGGCGTTAATAGTAATATGAAAAAAATCAGCATTTACTTTGAAAATATTCTTAAACAAGTATACAATAAAATTAGTGAGTATACTAAAAATAATAATCATCTAAATTGGAATATTAAAAATAGCATACAGGTTTTTAATACACTAAAAACTTTGCATACTATTGATTCTCTACGCTTTTGTTATTTCGAGAACTTACATACTCCCCTTTCCTACTATTAAAATTATTTATAACCTTCAAATTTATAGCATGTTTAATCTCATAATTGATGATACAATTGATAAAAAGAACTGGAAATTTCAAGTTCATATTAACCTCAACAATAATTATGTACTATTTAATGACTGCCTTTTCCAACAAACTAATGATATCCCCATAAGGAAATAATTTTAGTACTAATGTTTGCAATATTTTTCTGTTTTTGCAAGAATATATATAGATTCGTGAAATCATATATTCTTCCTATTAATTTCTTCTTTCTCAGATTTATTGTTCATCCTTTAGTTATTAATTCTCACGATTTTGATTTTTTAGCTAAACAAATCTATCCAAGTGAATTAATTCTTAACAAAACTCATATTAGTAATTCTTTAGCAATATTTTTAGATTTAACTCTTAATATTAATGAAAATAGTAAAGTTACATTTAAACTTTTTGACAACAGAAATGATTTTAACTTTCCAATTAAAAAAAGCATTGATTTGAATTCTAACTTAGCCAATAAGGTTTTTTTTTTTCAATATTATTACCAATCAGATTTATAGGCTCTACAGAAATAATTCAAACTATACAAAGTTTTTAAAAGAAACTATTAGATTTGAAAGATATTTAATTAATAGTCATTTTCCAAGTTCATTTCTTCATTTTAATTTTAAAAGTATTTTCAACAACTTAGAGCATTAATTTTTCATTATTTATTTTTCTGTTTTAAGAATTAGCTCTAACTTGTTTTTAAGGTAGGAACTAATTATGATAAGTTATTCCTAAAGTCACTGGATGGAATAGTTTGCAGGTATGACCTTTTATACTGGATAAGTTAATTTATTAAGCAAACTTCTAAATAAATTGTAGCCTTTATTTAATAACTTTAATTATTTAATTTTAATTGTCCAGTGTAATAAACAGTTTATTTTTATTTTTTACTACTATTTCCTTTCTTTTATTATTTTCTTTTGTTAGATTGGAATGGGCTCTGGTTTATGAGCTGCCACCCCCGATGAATGCAGGTAATACGTGTAGACTTTAATGTTATGAAAGGATGTATGGATGAAGGATAAAGTCTATAAAGGGCTTTCTATCCATGTATGCAGGCTCTGATTTATGAGCAGTCACTCTATGAAAGAAGGAATGCTAATTAAATGATTTATTCCAAGTTTAGTCTATAATTTAAGCTACAACGATTGCCTATTTGAATGCTTTCTCCAATTCATTTTAATTTTGTAATTAATTTGAGAATTTTTATTTATTTGTTTTTCTATGATTTATTAAATTTTATTCTTATTAAGGGTTTCGTTAAATAAATTATCCAAATAAATTTTAATAACTAGATTTTTCTCACAGATGGCAGCACTGAAATACAATTTGCTTCATTTTTTTTTCTACCAAATATATTTTTAAAGCTGTAAGATTTAAGCTATAAGCATTGTTTTTTATTATTTTCTTCTTAACGAATTTTTGTTAACTGTTAAATTAGTAATCTTTTAAAGGCATTTTTTACTTTTGCTCCACGTCAGTAGACTTGCTATTGTTGTTGTTCATTTACGTCGCACTAGAGCTGCACAATGGGCTATTGGCAACGGTCTGGGAAACTCCCCTGAGGATGATCCGAAGTCATGCCATCACAATTTTGATCCTCTGCAGGGGGATGGCACCCCCGACGACCTGCACGCGAAGTCGAGCACTTTACGGTAGAACAGTTTAACGAGGACCAATACCGCACACCCTCGGT